GAACCGAAACAAAGGCTGCTGCAGGATACACCACTTAAAAAAAAAATTATTGAGAGCTTTAACATTTACTGCCCTTTTGATAAATTTTAGACGTTTTTTCAAAGGTCCTGAGCATTTTCTTGAAAAAAAGTATTACTGTTGTGTAATCATGACACCAATAACAAGTTTTTGTTCAAGATTATTTGATATTGAATGACGTTTATTTGGGAAAAAAAATAAAAAAAATGTCCCTTTTACCTAATTTTGCACTTGTGCCATATTAATTATTTTAATATCCCACATAGCTGCAGATTTTTCTCCATCTCATGATGTCAGTTTTAAATATTAAAACGATGATGTTTTGAGCATGTAAGAAATGAATGGTTGCGTTTCCCCTCCATCTCTTAGATACACGCACGCGTGCTCGTGCACACAAACTGAGGTTCAGGACGTAGACAGGTAGAGGGTCAGGAACGGAACCGGAAGCTGTTGTCCTGGGCTGTTTTCCGTTTTACAGCGCAGGTTCCGATGGACCTGCGCTGTAACGGTAAACTATTTCTCTGTTGTTCCAAAACGAAGTTAAAACTTGTTTAGGTGAGAAAAGTCCGAGTTACTCAGTATTTGCGTAGCCTTTTTTTAAACAAATACTTTACTACTCTTATGTGGGTAATTTCTTGGACGGCCAGTGTCTACTTGAGTAAAAATATGTCGGGGTAATAATATTCTTATTTGAGTACAACTTTAGACTCGGTGGCGTTAGAAGGTCTCTGCATTTCACGCCGGCCTGGTGTTGGTGGTAAGCAGCCGCATGAAGCCCAAACACAACTTTTTAAATAAAAAAAATGTTTAAAACCGGGGAAAGAAAACCCAACGTCCAATTTATGCTGGTCTATCGCAACAAAAATGCACTTGCGGTGTTTAGTTAGAACAGTGCTTCTCAAATAGTGGGGCGGGCCCCCTTTGGGGGGCGCGGTGCGATACCTGGGGGGCGTGTGATCCTGGGGAACAGGCTTTTTTTTTGGCCGAACTAGTATAAAGTGTAATTGCGCACAGTAGGCGGCAGTGGCGCTCTCATTGTTACTTCTGTCACGTTTGCGACAGTGCAACATTTTACGACTTACAAGACAACAGGTTTGCCTTGGTTAGCAGTGTTACGTCAACAAAAAGCTCCGACTGCGTTCTGTCTATGGCCTCCGTTATTCAACAACCCCCAACATGAAAAAGTTTTTAACAGGGATGAAAAGAAAAGCGGAGAGAGACAAAGATAATGAGACAACAGAAAGTCAACCGAAAGCTAAGAAGAGGAAATACGACGAAGCGTATTTAGCGCTTGGCTTCACTGTGACTACAGTTGGAGAAAGGAAAGACCGGTGTGTTTGCTGTGTCTAAAAATGCTCGCAGGACAGCATGAAGCTACGGTGGCCCTGAGGTGCAAAACACAACAACATTAACAAAAACACAACAACATTAACGGAAACACGACAACATTAACAAAAACACAACAACATTAACAAAAACACAACAACATTAACGGAAACACGACAACATTAACAAAAACACGACAACATTAACGAAAACACAACAACATTAACGAAAACACAACAACATTAACGAAAACACAACAACATTAACGAAAACACAACAACATTAACGGAAACACGACAACATTAACAAAAACACAACAACATTAACAAAAACACAACAACATTAACAAAAACACAACAACATTAACGAAAGCACTACAACATTAAGGAAAACACAACGGAAGAGGTAGGTCCCAGTGGGAGACCTAAGAAGTCGCTGATTGGACGACAGGTCGTTTTACTTTTGAACCGGAAGTTATGCTGGAGTGCTTCGTTTGATTGAAAACCTAAGGAAGCGGGAATACAGTCACTTCGCCATGTATTGCCCGAACTGTGGAAAGGAGGTGGTTGAGCCGTCACCAAATTTTTGCAGTAATTGTGGCAAGAGGCTTCAAGAAACTTGTATGGAGGATACTCCACAATGTTCAAGTAAGTTAAAAAGTATAAAGGAAGATTCATATTTCTTATGGATGTAGTAACTTGCTAACGCTACTGGTCTCCAGACCGTGTCCACTGTCATCTAGTTGTTCATTATAAATGCAATTAAAAGTACACAAAGTCGCTATAATACAGCAGAATTGTATTAGCTATATATCGTAAGGTCCGTTACAGCCTTAGGCACTACTTTTTTAGGATAATTGGTGTCGTTCTGGTTCTGCTGCACTGCGATCAGGCTAGCCGCCTTTTTGGAAGCGAACTCGCACTTAATTTATACTTGTGGCAGCTTTACTTCAGTTCGTAATACATATTGTCTGTTTGCATGAATGTGATGTGCGACATTTTTTCTTTGCTTTACTTCTAGCACAACAGACTGTCCCATCCTGCCGTACACCAGCCCTCAGCACCTTCCTTGAATAGAAAAATGAGGAGCGACCAAAGTATTCTCTTGGGAGAAAGGGGTTAAAACAAAAGGTAGAAATGAAAGTTCGGGTAGGTGCTAAATTCGGTTCCCCTGTGTCGGGAGCGATCATTACAGCCAGAGAGACGAATGAGGCGGATCTGACCATTTTCACGTCGCTTCTGATCGATTTCTCGGTAAAACAACTCATATAATCATGTGAAGGTTGTAACATTGAGTTTAATTGGCAGCTGTTGTTTAAAAAATTGTATAATAAATAAATAAACAAGATCTTCTGATGCTGTTTTTTGTTATTTTATACGCCAAGAGAATCGCTCTTTTTCCAACGTTTCTCACGTAAGCCTGGCAGAAATAAGTCAGGCACCAAACACAGTTTTCCCAACACGTAGTGTGTATGTAAAGATTTTTGAGAATTTGGAAACAGTTGTTCTTTATTCCCCAAGGTTCGGTAAGGGTAGGAAAGAATGGAGGAAATTATAATCTGGTCCCCCTCCATAATATGGGAACAACTTAATTTACCAGCAAGATTTTTTTCTCTGTTTATTCCTCTCATCATCAACAATAAATCCTGTGATTTTGGTAGAATTTGCTCCTTGTTTGCCAGAGTTATGAGGGGAAAGCCATATATTTTAGGTGACTAAAATGATCTGTTCCCCCTTCAAAACATGGGAACTATTTACCAACAAGTCTTCAACTGTGCTTATTCATCTCTTCATCAACAACAAATTATTTGAAAACATTTCCTCTTTATTGCCAGAGATATGAGGGGGAACCATATATTTTAGCCACCTGAAATAATGTGTCCCTTCCAAAACATGGGAACCAATTAATTTACCAGGAAAATGTTCTCTTCATTTCTCAAAGGTAAGTGGCCTTGGGATTTAAACTATCTTTCCACAGCTGTCTTATATCACATTATCCTTCTCGAAAAACCATCAATGCACCCTGAGATGGCCAAGCCGAATGGCTTCAGTTTTGTCGTAGCCATCTACATGCTATATGTAATTGGGCCCCGTGGAGGGATACGTGCGTCTTGTAAACCTGCGAGTTCTCAGAGCGATGCCTTGAGGATTCAGCTGCCTCAGCAGTCTCATTACAACATCACGTTTGACACGCAGGTTGTGTTTTAGTTTGAGAACTTGCCACATGGTCCGATAGCCAAATAATTGCCCTGGTCCTCTAAGCTCGGACATAATGACACGTCTCACTTCAGGAAGTGGAGAGTAGTTGCCTCTTCAATGCAGCCCTGCTACTTTCAAATGAGTCTTTACTGAACGCATGCTAACCGACACTTCGTGGTTGGTCTGGAGCATGTCCAGTATCACCAGTATCAGTATGTCCTGACTCAAAATATTTACGAATAACAGTACTAAGGTTTGGATCACTGAGAACATTCTTGTTTTCAGCAATCAAGTTAAAGCCAGAAGAACTTCCGGTTCAAAAGTAAAACGACCTGTCGTCCAATCAGCGACTTCTTAGGTCTCCCACTGGGACCTACCTCTTCCGTTGTGTTTTCCTTAATGTTGTCGTGTTTTCGTTAATGTTGTCGTGTTTTCGTTAATGTTGTCGTGTTTTTGTTAATGTTGTCGTGTTTTTGTTAATGTTGTTGTGTTTTTCTTAATGTTGTTGTGTTTTTCTTAATGTTGTTGTGTTTTCGTTAATGTTGTCGTGTTTTTGTTAATGTTGTTGTGTTTTTGTTAATGTTGTCGTGTTTTTGTTAATGTTGTCGTGTTTTTGTTAATGTTGTCGTGTTTTTGTTAATGTTGTTGTGTTTTTCTTAATGTTGTTGTGTTTTTCTTAATGTTGTCGTGTTTTTGTTAATGTTGTTGTGTTTTCGTTAATGTTGTCGTGTTTTTGTTAATGTTGTCGTGTTTTTGTTAATGTTGTCGTGTTTTTGTTAATGTTGTTGTGTTTTTCTTAATGTTGTCGTGTTTTTGTTAATGTTGTCGTGTTTTCGTTAATGTTGTCGTGTTTTTGTTAATGTTGTTGTGTTTTTCTTAATGTTGTTGTGTTTTCGTTAATGTTGTCGTGTTTTTGTTAATGTTGTTGTGTTTTTGTTAATGTTGTAGTGCTTTCCTTAATGTTGTAGTGTTTTGCACCTCAGGGCCACCGTATGAAGCCAAATAAATTAGCGCGTCTCTTAAATACGTTACATCCCAATCACGCCGATAAGCCGCTAGAGTTTTTTCAGCGAAAAAAATGTTAATAAGGAAAAAATGTTATGCAGAGATGGATAGTCACGGTGGGGAGTGGGGGCGCGAATAGTTTTCTTCTTGCTAGGGGGGGCGTAACGGAAAATAATTGAGAAGCACTGAGTTAGAATGTAACAAAACGTAGAAAGATTATGTGCCTGCTTAAAAAAACAACTTTGAAACAGTGAAATTAGTGTATGTTTTCATTTCTACAGCTATTGACAAAAGTATAGAGTTTAATTGTGTTTTTGTAACATTATTAGCTACATAAATGGGAGTGAAAGAGAAAGGATTTATTTTTTTCAGACTGCAGTATTTGCTGTCGCGCCGGCAAATGGAGCGGTCTCATTGGACAGCTGTGCTGACGTTGAAAGGGGGCGTGAAGTTTCGTGCTAACACCTAGCCTCGATGTAGTAAGCTGTTGGGACTCTGGTTCATTCTTGGCGGTACATACCTTGCAGAGACTATATCAATTGTGCTGCTGGTTCCAAGGGCAATATTCTCAGCAGACCGAGTCTAGTTAGTTCCGTGAGCCGCAGTGGTCAGCAGGTTGGCGGACGAAAACAGCCTTTAGAGGAATAAGTGATGGCACTGAAATGCTAACGTTGCTAGTTAGCTCCTCCGGCTATCTAGCTCAACCATCTGGGTAGCGAAAATGAGTGGAACTCTAGCTGAGCGGCGCTAGGTAGGAGGTATGATAATCTTTTCATAGCAGCGTCGTTCCTCTTCAAGCTATCCAAATTAGGGTTACAGGAGCATTAAAGCGGCACATAAACCAACTATTGGTTCAGTGTGGCTAAGCCTGGCTCGTGTTAGGAGGCAAAGTGTAGTTACAACTCGGTTTGCACCAGCAGACTTAACGGGTCAGCAGCTAGCAGCTACTGGGCATTGTGTAGTATGTAGCCACGGCATGCTAACCATCCATCTGGGAAGTTTTTAACTGCACATAACGTGACGGGCAGAATTTGAACAGCGTGATTTTAGCTGCATGTAAGGCGCATAAAACGCTGTCATGGTGAGAAACCGTTGTTGACTTGTCGGGTCGGAGAAGGGGCCTTGCACCCCGCTCTGGGTCGGCCAACATTGCGCTAGTTAGTTCGGCTTATGTAGCCTCAGCTCGATCGATTTGTCCGAAATTAATTTCAATCATGTAAAGCCGGGCAAAGTCCGAGGGTCAGTAATGTGGCTGTACTGAGCGGGGCCGCCATTTCAGGTTCACGAGTGCGTGACGGGCCCGCATTGTCGAGCAAGAATGAACAACTCCGGAGTCATGCCACAGGAAAAGATGGAGCTGGACCTGGAAATCCCAGCTGCTTTAGTCCAAGGCGATGGACACCTGAGGAGATCAAACAGTGCACCCATGATTAATGGATTGAGGTTCTGCAATAGTTTCTTTCTTTTTTTATTATTCCACTCCTTCTCCACCTAAATCTCACATCTTTCATTGAATGAGTTTTTCCTCTTTCGACATTACCACTTTGGCTGGAAGGCTGATGGACGCGTTTCGATTTGTCGTTGCAGCGATAACGCTCAAGTCTTCCAGAGAGAGGTCCTCCGTTGCCGCAGGAACAGCACCACGGTCGTCAACAGACCCAGCATGGTACGTTTCTGCAACTTGGTCACGTTTCTGCAATGTAAGCCTGAATCCCACAGCACCATGTGTTCCTGCTGTGCTACAGGTGCCTTCATCTCCCATCCGCGTGCCCAGCACCAGGCTTCACCAGATAAAACAAGTAAGTGTGCGTTTCTTTTTGTAAAACTAGATTCTTGTCCTGGCTGGACTTAGTTTGCCACATGAGGTTGTAAGCTTTGAGTCTGGCAGCAGCGATGTCTGAAGACTGCATTTAAATGTACAAAATCTCCTTTATTCCAATTGTAGAACACTGACTTTTGCACTCATTGCTTTTCTTGTTCATCTTTCCAGGAAGAGGGAGTCGACTTGATGAACAGAGAAACTGCTCACGAGCGGTACGACCCCGTCAGCGGCGAAGACGTTGTTCTCGCGTGACACGCTTACAAACCTGATTTTCATGTTTCTGTCCACACAGGGGAGTTCAAGTTGCCATGCAAATGAGCCACTCTTGGGAGGAAAGCCTTAGTCTGGTAAAAAAAAAAAAAAAAAAACGCAAAACAACAACTTTAACCCTTGTGATTGAACTGCTCTTGTTGATGGGGGACATTCCTCAGAGTCAGCAGCAGCTGTATTTGTGTGGTGCAGGCATGCTTTGGCCCAAGGCCATTTTTTTGTCCTCTCTGTATGAATGTGGCGAGGACGAGTATAAAGCATGCTATATGAACTTTTGGGAGTTAACAGGGCCACCAGTCTTTCAAGTCCAGGCTGAGTCGGTAGTATAATACTCCCACAGTGTTTTTATTAATTTATTTATTTTTACTCACAACCCCCTGGGATGTGTTAGGCCGTTCTGCGTCAGGGGATTCATTCACTTTCAGCGTCTGGTGCTATTGTGTCCGCAGAGCGACAACGACATGGAGAAGTCTTCGTCTCCGAAGCGGATCGACTTTGTGCCCGTGTCGCCTGCTCCGTCCCCGACCAGAGGAATAGGAAAAAAGGTGCGCAGTCTTACCAGGATCTATTGTGACGGCTCTTTGTCTTCACCTTTTAAAACGCAAAATGTCTTGATGTTTTGAAAGTGAACGGTTCTCAGACCTCTGGTGACCTCACCATGTGTTTTTCTTTTTTGTGTGTGTGTGTGTTTCTTTCCCCATCCCCTCAAGCAGCAGTGTTTCTCTCCTTCACTACAAATTCTTGTCAGCAGCAACGGTCTAACACCCAGCCCGATACCCAGCCCAACGCGCCGGTTCAGGTCAGTATGTTGCAACTATTGTTGATCTGTTTTTGTTTTTTTTTTCTCAAATCCAAAGGTGTCCAAACTTTTCGTCATGTGGGCCAAATAAACCAAAACAAAACAAAAAAAAAGCTCTACTAAAATCAAGCAAATAAGTTAGTCTTTTTAAGTAAAACGAATGTTATACAAAACCCAAGAGAGATTTTGAAAGTTTGCTATGTTTAAAAGCAAGCCATCTAGTTTTCAACGAATCAATTCACGGTTCTAAGAACAGGATTCTGGTCACTTTCTTTCAAAATACTTGCTACATTTAGCCAGGCTTCATAAAATATGCAGAAGCTGATTTGGATGCAGCAAAGTCGACCTTCCAGATAAAACGTGGCTCTACTTAGTGTATGAGTTTGGTTCTGAAAAAATGAAGACTTTGTGATGTACTTAATATTTTCCATTGCAAGAAAATTGTCAGAATTAAATTTACACCAATTAAAAATTGAAAAAGTTTGATAAATTTAAATATTTCTTGAACTGGAGTTGAGGGACTACAAAAATAAATCAGCCCAAGGGCCACAAACGGCCCCCAAGCCGCACTTTGGACACCACACTCCTAGTCTGTATGGCGTCAAAACCTTCCCAAGACCTCACATACACAATATGACAATAAAACAAAAAAAATTATGTTTATAAATTTCTTAATTTATAAACCAGTGCTGTATTTGCGATGCAGCATTTTCCAGACGTTCACTGTTGTTTTGGTAATGCGCTCCAAGTTTTCTATGTTGGAAGGTCTCCTTACCATAACCCTAATCTTTGGCTCATTCCACTGATTATTGCAGAGCAAGAGCTGTCTTCTAAAGAGTCTTCTAAATATGTCTTATATTCTTTGGCTTTGAATGATGGTGACCATCAAGAGTGAATAAATCTCGATTTGCCAGATTTATCTATGTTTAGCGTCGCTTGTATTAAAGGTTTAAGGTGAATGTTTGTGCTCGATTGTATGGATTGGAATCGATCCAGCATAAAATTCAAGTGTTCTTGTTTCTGAAAGTCGTGAAATGCATTTTTCGAAAGCTGTTGTCTGACGAGTGAGTTTCTCAAAATATCATAACTTGAACAAACACGGAAACTGTAGCGTAAATGAAGCTGCCAACGTCCTAAACGTCTGCTGCCACACGCTGGTCAGAAACCCGCTTAACGCTCGACGCTTCTGCTCTCTTCAGCCGACGGAGTCAAAGTCCGATCAACTGCATCAGAGCCAGCATCCTCGGCCCGATGAAGCGCAAAGGTGAGAAAACGCTTCGTCCAAGTTTGACTTTGCAGTTCCATTGATTTTCTCCTCGAATCAGAGTGTGTTTATCTTTTCAAAGCTTACTTTCTCGACGCATACGGATAAAAATCGATGTTTTGTGTTGAGTTTGAAATTGAAAATTGCTTAGAAAATGAATGTAGTTTATGTTTGTTGGCTACTTTATCTTTATAGCTAAAGATCTTTGTGAAAATACAGGGGAGATGGAGACGGAAAGCCAGCCTAAGAGACTCTTCCAGGGAACCACCACCATGCTGTCCTCTGACGTGTCCAACCTGTCAGACCTCGGCTCCTGGTAAGGGACAGACGCGACGCGGTTTGGTGGGGGAAAAATACAAATGAAATCATTTTCCTGTTTGCGGAGATGAGATTAAAACTCAGATGTAGTTTGAGCTGAAATCAGCAGATTGACTCAGGCAGTGTTGGTTTGGGAATGGAGGAAAACAGAAATAAACTGCACAAAAACTTTGACATTCTCTTTTTTTTAAAATTCTGGTAACAAATCAGACCAGTAAATAGTGTTATGTTAAGCATTTTGAACATTTTTATCTCATTTGTAAGCTGGTGACAAGTGAACTCAATTGACATTTATGTTATCCCTACATATTTTATGTGACATGTCAAACTCAAGGCCCGGGGCCAAATGTGGCCCTTTAGATTCCAGATTACATCAGTAAGTCCCTCCAGTTTTTCACAGTTTTGCAAAATTCACACAAAAATTGACAATGCCCCACATTTCTTCTTATTTTGCTGCATTTTTTCCCTCAAAATTGGTAAAATAAATAAAACATTGGTTTGAAATGACTGCTGCCTCAACCTTGCTCGATGTCAAGTTATAGTCCACGGTGATTAATACAATGTCACATTTAGCCCCATAAATTGGTGCAAAACACACAAAAATTCCTCACAAATATTTCTAAATTGGCACCATAACATCTGTGGTTTTGATTGCAAAACACAAAAAAAAAACAATCACAAAATCCTGGAGGGACTAATTGGTGTGAAAAGATAATCATTTCATTTTGAGAAACTCTTATTGAATGCTGAACCAAATGGCTGTTTATTAGTATTTAACTGTTTAATGCCAACACCGGCCCTTTAAGAACCTTCAGATTTTTGATATGACCCACAACGAACATGAGTTTGACAGCCTGAGCTCATGTCACGCGCTTTATATATTATTATAATCCTCTAAAAACCTAAAGATGGAATAACTTGTGCTTTTTACTCCTGAACTGTGACTGAGTAGAAAAGCACAGCAAGTCTACAGGCGTTTCTTCGGTTTTAGTTGACCTGTGCGTCTTCCTCTCTTTTAGCCACTCTCCAGATTTACTGGACGGGAGTCTCAGCAGCATCGGCTCCTCCACGGACTCCCCGGGAAAGATGGAGGGCGTGTCCCCTTCGTCGTCCAGCAACTCGCCCTTCACCTCCCTGCAGGATTTGTCTCCGAAGTGACCAGCAGCGACGGCCACCGTCTTGTGCGTTTCAGGAAAAAACTGCATCTTCCTCAACCCAATGGATCCCATCTTGGCCCGCGTCTAGTTTACATGGACTTCTTCATTTGTTTCCATATTTGCCTCCGTACCACTGTTGTCATGGCTACTCTCTCGGAGGCAGTAGACGGGATCAGGTTGAGGAATCTAAAGCCACGCATCTGTTTGGGTATCGGAGGTCACGTCTGAGCGACACTGACTGAAGACACTGACTGAAGACACTGTGAGCACTGTGAGGTGGTGCCCGGCTGCTGAATGGTGTGGTGCATTACTGGCTTTACCACCATTTTGTCCCACATGTCCCCAATCGCCTCAGAGAGACGCCGAGTACTGGACAAAAAGACTGATCCTGTTTTAGTGCTGGAAAGTTCGTCCCATATGTACACAGTCTGCAAATTTTCTTCTTTTTTTGTGTGTAAGAAAAGATTTAACTTATTGTTTTCCTGCTTTGTATTGTAAGTATGTACATATGAATCTAGTATGATATGTACAGTTTTACATTTGGCTGTGAGGGGACTGTAGGCACTCGTTTTCTGGGGTACAGCTAACGGAGAGTTCCTCTTCTGTTTCCGGTGTGCAGAAGACTTTCAGAATATTTTCTGCTTATAGACTGTGAACTGTGGTGACCTTTTTTGGGGCAGATTCTTGGTTCCTATTAGCTGCGACCGTAACAACCCAGACGGAGTGAGCGACGCGCCGAGCAGGAAATTGTGAACGAAAACCTGTTGATTTCTGGTAGTCTTTCAACACTAAGAGGTTCCTGTGTATCTTGTGTTTTTTGTAGATATGGAAAGTGTTAAAGATTACCTCCTGTTCTTCAGGCAAAGTGTTTATTTATGAAGATTTATGGACAAAATATATATATGAATATATATATATATATAATTGTATGTTGATTGGTTTTGTCTTAAATCAGATAAAACTGACTGCTAAAAGGAAAACAGAACCATTCCATTGGGAATGAAGAGACTGCTGTCGCTGCCATGTTTTAGGTGCTTTGCACAGGATGCTCATCCTTGCTGCGCTCCAGCCTGTGTCCTAGTCTTGAGCAGGAAAGATGTAGAAGTTTTTTTTTTTTTTTTTTTTTTTTTTTTTTTGTCTTTTTGTTCTGAGGAAAAACAAAATGCAGAGATTCGAGCCTGCACTGTGATATTTTGCACCAAAATGTAACCGTTGGGTTCTCCTGGGTCCGTGTTCGTACTCCCCTGTGTTTACGCTTCCTCAGCCTCCATTGCTCTGCCGCCTTAAATGTTCATGTACAAAATGAATTGATTGTAAATCATTTCATGTAAGTGTTCCCTTTTAATTTAAAGAAAGGTTTGGTTTCAGATCTTTTACTGAATGACTTTGTTGTAACTCTTATTCTTTTCTGGCAATTAATTTTTTTTTTTTGTGGTGTTTATTGTGTAAGGCTGCTTTTGATCACTGGCCACATTGATTGAATTATATAGCAGAAGAAATTCAAATGCAACTCAACTCAAGATTCACTGTGGGGATGAAGAATTTCCAGTAGCAGTCAGTCTTCCATTGGCTTGGAAGAAACTTCTGACTGAAGACTGTTGGTGTGTGACATGCTAGCCACTTCATATCGACAGCAGACATATTTCACAGATGAAACAATTGATACTGCTAATCCACTTTTTTTTTTTCTGGATTGTCCTCCTGTAACATCTGCAGCTGGGTTTTTTGTTTTCTTTTTTTTTTCAAATACAGGATAGATCCAAAGATTTGTTTTTGTTTCTATGGAAAACTTTTTCTGCCGTATTTTTTGGGGGTTGTTAATCTGCTAAAAAGCCAAACGGCGACTCATTTTTAGTTTACTGGAAGAGACTGAGATTTTATTCAAAACCTGTTGTTTCAGATTTCGCGAGCTCACGCACTTGCTATTAGATTCAGAGCCTGTGGAGGATAAACAGGCCTGCAGCACCATAGATCCTCCACCTTGCTTAATGTTGGGGATATTTTCCCACTTATTCAGACATTTGACATCAAGCCAGCTGGAGTGTTGAAGTCCAATCTTCATCTCTTGTAACCAAAGTTCCAGCAGAGGTAAGCAAGCTAAACATTTGTGATGGTTGGATTAAAAAAAATAAATGCACTTGAATTAAAGATTGGATTTTCTTGTTCCAATTTTTTAATATTGAATTATATTTATTACTGAAATGTAAGATCTATTTATTTTCATCCGATTAGAAAAGCAGCTTATTTACCTAAAGCTACGGTAGATGAATTAAGTCTTAGAAGACAAGTTGCAAGAGACGGGTAAATGTAAACATTTCCATTAAGCGGAGCGTTTTCTAGCCTTATCTACGACTGCTGGACTGAATAGTCTCTGATACTTTTGAGAATCATCATGCTTTTTAATTGGAACTACTAGCACTACAACGCAGCTGTACTCAGACTTTATTAAACATGAGCTTCAATGTTACGTCAAACTGGCGAAATGCAAAAAGTATATCCAGGGTTTGTTTTGTGGGAGATGAAAGGAGCCACATGTGCTTGAAAGCATCGTCTTCAGTCTTAAGCTGGGAAAGCGTCAAAACATCAATATGACAGTCACAGGAGCATATCATGACCTTTTAATGGCTTTATGTACACGTTTGCATGTAGATTTCTTCACACTCAAGTTAACCATATTGAGTCACACAATGGCAATAAAATTTCGAAGAATGCATGATGGTCCGAGCGACGTCGAAGCGCCTCGCGTCTCTTCTCCGGCCGAGGCTCGGCGGCGGCGTCTGCTCAGCAAGAGTTCCCATAGGTCTTCCCGTTTTTTTTTTTTTGTTTGTTTGTTTTTTTTGTAACAGCCCAGAAAACATTATGTATTTGAAACCAATGTACTAAAATGTATTTGTCAGCCGATGGAGTTATGGAGCTCCACCAGAGCGCTGAGAGCTCCGCTCGTCTAAGTCGCCTCTGGTTGGACAATGTTCTCTTCATCGTTTAAAACTGTTTATCCTCGTCCTTCCAGCACTATGCACTTCATGTACGTAGGATAACCATAGTTAGAAGACCTGGAAGATAAACAGAAAAATTGCCGTTTACTACAGCATTTAAAAAGAAAACATTTTTTTACACAAGGTGACGAACAGATGCACTGATTAGTCTCTCAAGTTTCTCTTCAAGCACTGTAATATATGCATAGGGTGATAAATTAAAATGCGCTCACATTAGGATGATTAAAAATAGTTTAAGGGCACTTTTGTTTCCAAAAGATAATCCATTTTATTTATCACTTTGGTTGTGTGTGTTGTTTCTGTTTATTTTTTGGTTGTGTTTTAATTAAAACGTCTTCCACGTCCAGTGTTAAGTGTGTTTTGATTTATTTTTATTTTTTCCTTGCAAAATTAAACTTTTCAACTTGCACCGTTATGTCATTACTTGAAAATGGCCTCGAACCAATAACATGGTTTATCGCAATAATTACTGGCAATTTTGAGCAATTCTTAAAACAAGGACAAAATGATGGCAAAGTTGACTGGCATTTGCAATTTGTGGAGCTAACCGAAGTCAGCGTTGTCAGAATTACAGAAATCTCAGTCTGTGTACGCTGTACTTCAGCTCATTTTCCAGAAAAAATGTCCATCAATTTCTCTGATTTAGTGAGAGCTTTTACAGCCTTACCAAGAACATAAGCAGCTACCAGTTTCTTGTTAACACTTAAGTGGAGGTAGACAGGCACAGTGGATTCTTGCTCCCCCAACGTTGGAAGCATCAGGGCGATCATGCACACGAGTCCCAGCAGCACTGTGAGCAGACTGGGTCCTCCAGCAACGGGACGGCTCTCTGTCAATACAGGAAGCAGCATCGGAATGAATGCCATGCATCAGCTGCCACAATTTACCTGGAATATTGAAGGTTATGATGATTTTAGAAATGTCCTGCAGCTCGGAAATATTATTAGACGGCAGACAAAATCATTTTGCACATGTGTACAATTCCAGGTTTCAGAACATTGGAGAGAACAAAAACATCCGAGATCTGAAAGGTGAAAAAGATTTTTTTGTTTACTTTTGTGCTCCTATTCCTTACTTCACAGACAGATTTCTGTCTGTTTGTGTATCAGTTCAACGTTGCATTTATGCTTGGAACCACAGACAACATTTTTGTCTTGAGCAAAAGTTCAGTGTTAAAACACACAGTTCAAAGACAAAGACATCGAGAGACAGATGAGACTGAGAGGTTGGGAAAAGTTGCATTTCTTTCTTTCCATTGCACCCTTGGTATTATATCAGAGCATTTACTCAATATGTGGTATTAATTTGTCCGATACAGATTTCAAAGTCTGAGTGGATGTGTGAAAAATTCTTCGAAGAGGGAATGTTTTAAAAACGTATTAAAAATGTTTTTATGCCCTCCGGATGATTGAAAGCACTGACAAGTGGTTTGGCTGTTCTTTGGCTCCATCCAGTGGCGGCACGTCGCAACTGCCGCTTACCTGTCTGAAACGCAGTCTGCTCGAAAAACTCGCTGTCCGCAAACTGCTCCTTAATCCGCCGCTCCTCGTCTTGGGTTCTGGCGCCGGTCGGCTCCTGCGAGGCCGAGGGACGGAGCGTGGCGGTCACCTCTTTGCGACCCAGCGCTTTCCTCTGACTTTGCTCCGACACCTGCAGTCGGAACTTGTCGTACACGCCATAGTGACACGGCCGGACGTCTCTGTGGCGGATTACTCTGCGCAGACGTGTAAGAATTTGACTTCAATCGTCTTATTTATGTTTTTGAGAAAATAAAGGCGGAGACGAAAAAGATGCGAGCGCGAGGAGTTTACACTTACATGTCAACGCAACACTGCGGCTTGACGGCTCCCGTGGAATCAACCACGGTGTATTTGTTTGGCGCTGTGCACAGCACTGGAAATGGGGTGGGGGGCAAAAAATTTATCAAAATGAAAATTTTCAATAACTTCACATGCCAAAAGAAAGAAACATGTTGACTATTTGCCACCTACCTTTGAATTTGAGGGCGAACTCATAGGGATTGTAGAGGGTGAGCACCTGCTTATGAGACGACTGCTCATCCGCGTAGAAGACGAGCTCGGTCGGGAACACGAACACAGGAAGGTTTCCCTCCGCTAGCTGGTGCTGCTGCATTGGCTCCAGCTGAGCTCTGCCCCCTCCCTGTCCACTCTCTGACCGGGCCCCCCCAGTCTTCTCAAGCGACCACCCAACTGTGGAAACACCCCGACGGACGCAGGACAAGCTGGCGCCGCTCTTCTCAGCTCCTCAGGGCCATGACGTGCTCCTGCGACGAGCCACACACACCAGAGAGTTACTGAAGACTTCCTAACAGGAACCGTAAATAAAATGGATCGTGAAGTTTCTGCACATAAAGCTGCCGTTCAGAAAAACATAATCGCAACGGAACGTAAACAAGCTCACATTAACCTATCAAGTGCAAGCGGCGAATTGATTATTTGCTGATTATGACAGGCTTATTGGTCACTGAGATCTGAACTTTTCCGCGCAACAGCGCTATCTGTGCAAGACATTAAATTAAATAAGAAATTTAATTCAAGAGTGTCTGCTGGGCACGAACCAAGTGGTGTAGCTTGGAGTCTTGCCCCAGCTGGTGGTATGTGAAGGTCATCTCGAGGAGTAGGAGTGGGAAGAGGAAGTGTGGTTTCGAAACAGAGTATAAATTTTGTTTCTGCCGGCGAGCAGCCAGCACTTTGGGCAACATTACATATGTGACATTGCTCTTCCAGCTTGGACAAGATTTAATAAAACTCTCAGAGACAAAAGAATTCAGTTCTCGTTAGTTCAAGGGTATTACGTGCACGATTTGACTCAAAAATGGGAATGATGTGAAACATTCTTCTTTTTTTCTGCTTGATTCAAAGCTATGAAACATGGAAAATTTAACGATTAAATTTAATCGTTTTCGCTCCTTATGTCTTGTGGTTCTCTGAAAAAATGGAAATAGGTGAAAATCTGATTAAGCGGGTCAGACCAGACAGAAAACTGTGAAACAGTTTGGACAGGTAGAGGCTGATCAGAGCATCTTCTATCCATTAATTCACATCTTGGAACAAAAGCCTTCAGTTTCAATAAACTAGGTTTGGGGTGAACAAAAATTACCTGAAAATACCTGGCAGGTAGATATGCTATTCTGCTATACTACTAAAAACTTGACAACAACACCCTGATATTTTCATGTCTATAATGTAGTATGATTGGAAACAAAATGCCACACGTAATACATTTCACACAAACGCAGGGTTGTTGGGTAAAAATAACAACAGCGATGAAAGCACATGATGTCGGAGTGTAACCCTTGAGACAGGTGGAGTCCGCGCGGCTGGTCACGTGACCCTCCGTGTGTTTACATGGTTACACGGTTTGAGCTCGCGGGCCGAGCCTAGTGTCGCAACACGTTTTATGTTATTACCATTATTACCGACTTTATTGGCAAAAATAAAATAAATAAATACAATTCTGGCAGGCTTTTCGACATGTAAATGTTCTGGGTTTTTTTTATATATCTAATCGTATTTATGTTGGTTTTCATGCAGGCTACATAACCATAATATGCACAAATTCCCATTAAATTGTTCCATAAGGGCTTACTCATAATTACGACACCGACATTTTACTCGTGGCGACTGTAAGCTGTAAGCAACGTCACCGTGTTTTGACCCCGCCACCCGTTACAGCATGTCTTTATTGTGTCTCTGTTTACTAGCCTAGCGTTAGCCGGCTAGGCTAGCTCCAGCTAACAACAACTTAACGTCGTACTGCTGCCGTGTCATAACAGAGGAGGAAGCATATAGTCGTTTAAAGGACACAAAAGGCAAGAACGACACGTTACCTTTGCTGTCAGCATACGTTTATGAGGAATACGATAGGCACAACAGGCGTCTGTAATCCCACCCTGTTGTCCCTCTTTAGCCTTTTTTTCTTCTTTGTGCTGCAGACGGCGCGGTGCATGCTGGGACGGAGGAGGGCAGCGGTAACGTGTTTATTATCATTTCATAACGTCTGAAAACTATGGAAATCCCCCGTAACAACCGCAGCAAAAAGAAATGTGACCTTTAACAGGCCAAATGTCTCCTCCGAGATTGAGAGATCGTTTGTTTTAGAGTTGGCAATTGGTCTGCAGGACCGGATTCGTACTTTGAAATCCAGTGAACAGATTTATTAATTTTCTTCTAGAGATGAATGACAAAGATATTTGCCAGCCCAACTTTCTGCAGCAGTTTATCCCTGCTAAGCCTTAAGTTCACTGTTTGTGGAGTTATAAATGCACAAACACTCGAAACAGAAGCACATATTTTCCAACTATTTCTAGCTTTTGCAAAATAAAATGGAACCTTATAATAATAATAATAGTGATAATAGTAATTATTTAATTTAGCAAGCCAAACAAATCTGGTGTTTTAAACTCTGCTATGTATAAAAAATATGAATTTCACATTTTCCTTGTAATTGAATGTTTGCCATTGCCTCTGTCAGACATTTATTAAAGCTGAACCTGTTCATTTGATGTCTCCTGTGGAAAAAACACCAGCATTCTAGCTGCATTTATATATATATTTTAATTATTATTATTATTATTATTATTATTATTATTATTATTATTATTATTATTATTATTATTATTTACTTAATTGAGTGATGTATTTCTTGTCCTGTTGAATGTGACATTTTCTCCATATTTTTGTTTTCTGCAGGTCTTCACGGCGTTAGAGTACGCAGTCATCCTCCGTTGCAATATCATGTGAACACGAGTTTAACATCGCGGTCATGTTGCGAAACGTGCTTCTCTCGCTGTGTTGTGGTGTGTTCGCGGTCCTTCTGAAGCGCCTTGAACGCAGCACAAGAAGGGCAGCAGCTGCGTTGTGCGAGGAGGCGGGATAAAGTGGGAACGGACAAGAAATGTCACTTCTTATTATGATCTCTATGTAAATACAACAAATTGTTGTTGGGTTTTTTTTTTGTTTGTTTGTTTTTCTTTTTATGTATGTCAGCTCAGGAAAACCTACTACTGGAGCAAACACGTTTTACCAAACAGTCTGTTAGTTCCACATATTGAACCTACTATTGATAGCAGAGCGCAAACCGTTACTACCACTTTATATAATTATATTTGCAGGGGGCGTGGCCAACAGACCGGGGTTTGGCCAATGGGCTTGCAGTTCGGGGAGCAGGGCGTTCCATTCGGTTAGGAGCAGAAGTTGAACAGCGCGAGCTGTGAAACAGCCTCAGAAAGGCAGACACAGAGAGGGCAGATGCATCGGCCCTCTGCTGGAGGGGGGGCTTATTATAACAAATATATATACACACATGAGTGAACTGTTTGGCTGCACGATAGCTCATATGTGGATAACAGTTATTTTAGAAAAGCATACCACCGCGGCTTTACATTTAAAATGCCTATTCTAGTTTTTCTGTTAGACACGTCCGCCTCTATGAATCAGCGCACTTATTTGGGTACGACGTATCTGGACGTTGCTAAAGGCGCGGTTGAGATCTTTATGAAGGTAAAGATGGATTCTACCCGGATTTTTTCAGCAAGCTTGCACCTTTGGTGAGCTCAGGGTTCCTTGGAGAAAGTCGGTAAACATTAATATATGCTGTTTTGGTTTTCTTTTTTGACAGCTGCGTGCCCGAGACCCGGCTAGTAGAGGCGACAGGTACATGCTAGTTACATTCGATGAGCCGCCATACGGAGTGAAGGTAATTAGCAAATGATACCATTTTTACACTTCCAAGTCGAACGTGTTTGTCTGTAAGTGAGACTTTATTTTCTTTCAAGTTCGCCGGTGGCGAAAAAACGGACAATTACTGCTCCAAACAGCCGCAGACCCGGAGCCGCACTGCATCCGAACATCCAGCGGACATTTTGCTTTTGTGTCGAGAAAACTCTCGGGCGTTGAGATGGAGGCGGGGAAATTTATTATCCCTCGTGACGTCACCGGTTTTTCACAGAACCGCACGCAGGCTGGCCGAGGTCCATGCCAATCATGTTTCGCCCCGCCCCCTCCATTAAAGTTGCACTCCCATTGGCCGCTCCTGGATGAAAGTTGATAAGCCCGGTTCATCATGAGATTCTCTTTATGTTTGTACGACTTCGCTGGAACAGAATTATCATCATTCACATGATAATTATTTGTCAGACTGAAGCTGTGAGAGGCTTCCTGCATAGAAACCCCCGGTAATTGCCATACACAGAGAAAGCAGGACATGCAACCTCTCAATCTCTGCAGCAGTTTCCCCGCTTCCTGCCATAAAAACAGATGTACTCATCCCTATTCTATTGACTTGTTTATGGCTTGGCACACATCTCAGAGTTTTTCCTACCCCTTAAAGCACAATCCCAAATATGCACACAAGCCACCAAATTACGTAATTTCCTTCAGTGATTGTTCCATATTGTGGAATTCATCAAGCTGGCCTAACTTGTGCCTACAGGCTGCAGCGTCTTGCAAAATTATTCACTTCCCTTTAACTTTTACACATTTCATCACATCACAATGCATTCTCAAAGTGATTTTATAAAAGACTAAAACAAAGTGGTGAACAATTGTGAAGTGCAATACAAAGGTTGCATGAGTATACATTTTGATTTCCAGTGAAAAATGTGAAAAGTCTGGTGTGGATAAGAAATAATTGTTTTTTTTCTTCCTGTTTTACAAAATGCAAACAATACTGAGCTCATCTGAATGTTAAGGATTCGAAATATATATTTATCTTTAACTTTGCATCGTGTTTTAAGAAGTTTCAAATCAAATTTTTGCTTTGTGCACTTGTGTCACAAAGCAAATCGCTATAATTAATGTACACACAGAGAGTCTCCAAAGCCTTACAGTGCAATGCAAAAGTATCTGAACCACAAACCTCTTTATTTGTTGAAGTGAAAGGAGAACAATACGTGGTTTTCCATAGTTATCAGAAATAAAAATCAAAAGTTTACAAAATGAATATGCATATTCAACACCTCTAACTAAGATCCAGCACAACCAAACAAGCTTAGCTGGATATCTTTTTGAATAAAAAATGTAGCTTCTATGCAAATATGAAGAAAAATAAACCAATAGCTCATAAGATTTATTTTTAAAAAGCTAAAAGACTTACAGGACCTTATGGATTTATGATGATACTTTCTCAACTAGCAATATATTGATGTACAAACCCCATCTGCAGACTGTTTGAAAAGGCAAATATGCTTCAGTATATCCGGAAACAATGCAAATTTTTTCTGTTGCCTTGTTCATCTTCTAAAATTGCATAAATGATACTGACCCCAACCTACTTCCTTTTAGGCTGCATGTATCGCTGGTCTAATTGAATCTTAAAGTCTAACTTTTTCCATGTGGTTTATAGTTTTGGTTTTTAATAAAACATTTATGGCGTTTAATTGTTTATCATTGTCCAGCACTAGCTCGGATTATATTCTTTTTCTTCCCACGTAACCCACAGCAGAACAACTGTTTTTAGCTCATGTCCCCAGAGTGGGAGTTTCACTGCTCGCAAGTGTGAAACGGGTGCAAAGCAGTCGCAGGTCGGTGCTGCAGCTTTTGCAACAATTTGTAAAAGCGGCCAACAGACAAACACTTGTGCATAACACAACCTCGATCAAACAAACTAGGATGTGATTCTCGTCTCATAAAACCGTCCACTGCGCTGCCGTCTGACAGGGCTTTCCCTCGTCTGTGCAGCGGGGCTTGATCTGCTCTTTCTTCCCCTCCCTCTGGCTGTTTGTGGCCCGCTCCGTGAGCCGCGCTGAGCTTCACAATGACAAGATGAGGTGGTACTGATTGGGGCCGGTGTGTGATTGCACATTCACAGATGCAATGAATTGTTGATGTCGAGGAAGGGGGAGAGAGAGGGAGAGAGAGCGAGACGAAGAGACAGGCTTGGGCAGAAATATTCCGTAGTCTGAATTATTGAGTGCAGCGATTCTTCTGATCTATACAGGATAGTCTGGGTCTGATGGGGCTGAAACGATTCACCATGACGAACCCATTATTCAAATAATTGTCAGCTAACTTACTAATCAATTAATTGTTAAATGGATTCAAAAAAGGCAAATTGCTGACAAAACCCCCCGAAAGTATCCAAAATATAAATGCATTTTGGATTTACGATAAAATCACCTTTATATGTCAGGATATTTGACCCCAAACCCTTTAAGTGCCAAAGTTTTAGCTTCACTCAGTGCAGATTCACTAAAGAAATGTTTATTTTCTCAGTAAAAAAAAATGAATTGAATTATTTATTTGTACATTTTAACATATTTCTAATATAGTGGTTAAATGAAAAACCTGTATAGTGCGCCAATTTGTTCATTTTGTTTTTATCCGATTAATTGTCAGAATAGAGAGTCGATTAGTAAAATAATTGTCTCTTGCAGCCCTGGTGTTTGGTTACTTTAACGTTATCACTCTGAATGCATGACAGTTCTTGTACGGCCTCCTGATACTCATGTAGCTGTATGCAAGTCCTACAAGAATCTGTTGCTGGTCACCTTTTTGTGTTTGCAGCCTCTTGCCCTCCTTCTCTCAGCAGAGGGAGATGTAAGCTTGCAGGTCACCCTTAGATTAAGCATAAAGCTGCAGCACTAAAGCAGTTGACCCGGTAGATAAAAGTGGAAAAGCAGTTGCACACTCGCGCTCCCTCCTGTGGGAGTAAAAGTCTCCCTTAGAGGATGTACGGCAGTGGGAAGTGTATTTCTGGATTCCTCTTACTCTTGAACTAAACAGTCGTCTCTGAACTTCAGCACTCGTCGGTTACGTTGTGTCACTCAGAACCGACTTTACTTTCTCCCCCAGCCAACAAAAAAGGATCCAAATCACTCAATCGGTTTGATTTGCATGAGAACAAAACTGTTTTTCTTTTTCTTCTTCTTCTTTGTTATAACACAGCGTGCACACGTGGGTGTGTGTCTATTTTAAATCGGTAGACATTTGCCGACTTCGGGCCTTTTCTCCGGCGCCTGTTTCTCTCAACCTGAACTCAGTCTGTTTCGTTCCAGGCAGGCTGGAAGGAGAACCACGCTACCTTCATGTGCGAGCTGAAGAACCTGCAGGCGTCTGGGCTCACCACGCTCGGGCACGCACTCCGCGCTGCGTTCGACCTGCTCAACCTCAACCGCCTCGTCTCTGGCATCGACAACTATGGACAGGTATCGTAACAAGCCGCCATCACTGAGCTTTGAGGCAGCATTTTCCAAGTTGTTTTAGATTTTACTTTTTGTTGCCTCCTGGTTGAATCGTTGATGTGCTTTTGGGCACCACTGTTCCATTTTTCTCTCCATTTATGGAAAACAGACACAAGTTGACTTTGTTTCTAATCTGTTTTTTGAACATTCTTGGGGTTGGGGGATGCTGTGCTGCTTTTGAGATCTGGATTACCTGTGCCAGACAGGTTCTTACTGAGTGATTTCTTGAATCTGCAGGTCAAGAAATCGCTTGACCTTTGACTGGACGGCTAGTTGAGCTGACCCAAAACATTATAGTTTATCACAGTTCATTTTGGATTGAACAGATGACTACATATTCAGTTTATTTGACCAGTTTTTTAACCTTAATAAAGAATTGATCATTTGAAAACCGTTTGTTTAATTTTCTCAGATTCTTATCATGTGATATTCGGATTTATTTAAAACATTTCAGTGAGACAAACAAAAAGTGCAAAATGGTACATTTTGATTGCAACATTTTACATCACTGTAACTACAAATACTTCATACTCTCTTTAACTAACAAAATATACTTCAAAAAATAAACTGACCTGAAGTACATGAGGATGAAACGGTTTGTTTACAAGTATGAACTATGGATGTAGACTGGGACAAAATGGCAAAGCTGAGGTAACAAATGTGAGAAATATGACATGACGGACGTTTTCGACTAATTTGAGCAAGATTTGTAGCGTTATAGACAAAAAAATGAACCATCTGATCCTTTTAATACAAGTTAGTAAAACAATTTTTGTGTGTTTTTCTTACTTTTTATTCACTCTTTTGTCTAAAAATAGCGAGAGGAAAAGTGTCTTGGATGTTGCCTAATCCAATCAGCATTCCCCCTTTTTTGTTATCTCGCGCTCTCCGCTAGAAGGCAGAAATGGATTACTACAGTCAGACAACTTGTGCACATCAGGAGTGTGTGAATCTCCTCAGGCATTCCCCATGTGTGTGAATTAGAGGAGGCTGACCTCTGCTGCGCTGCCCTCAACTAGCAGCACAAGGACATTGTGACACAAAGCAAAGATTAGCCGCAGCGACAGAGGGCTCATGTTGGATATTACATGCTGATTTCTGTAACGATTATGTCATTAGTTTAAGCCAGCAAGTGGAATCTCTTTTGCTCAGAGCCCAGATTCAGGGTGTGGAGCATAAAGGCAGGGAAGCAGAGTACTGAACCTAAATTCACTTGGCCTGGAATGATTAATCGTATTGTTCACGATTAATCGATTATTTAAACCATTAGCAACTGATTCTATTTACTGATGGAACAAGACACCCAGAGCTGTAATTAAGCGACAAGCATTAAAAATATATATATATGTACGTATGAAAAATAAATAAGAAATTCTTTGTAAATATGTTCTACCCTGAAATCGTAAAGTGGCATAGTTTTCGCTTCACCCGATTCAAATTCTGTAAAAACCTAAATCTTCCATTAAGCTTCTTCTGCTCTCCAATTATTAATGATCAATTACTCTTGATATGATCAAAGTGTTTGTTTTATTACTGTATTTAAAAATGGATTTGGATTCCTTTTTTATTTGCATATTTTAATGTGTTTCTAGTGTTGCATATGAATATTCAAGTGGTTAAATGAAAAATTTGTATAATCTCTAAGACAGGTTTTTTGCACGTCTAATCGATTAATGGTCCGAATGATCGATTACTGAAATAATCGTTAGTTGCAGCCCTAAAATGGACTCCCAGCGCTTTCGCCTGCTTGCTGAACTTGTCATCAGAACTTGTTTCCCCTTCAGGGCCGCAACCCGTTCTTCCTGGAGCCATCTGTGATCATTACCATCACTGATGGGAATAAGCTTACAAACAGCTCCGGGGTGCCAGATGAGGTGAGTCACTCTCAGACACAAGTAACACCATCATCCTTTGTTTCATAGCAGCGCCAGCTGTACAGCTGATGCTTCGGAAGCTTTGAGCCCTTTGTGTTGTAGTAACGTTGAATGTCTCGAACCTCCTCGCAGCTGCACCTGCCCCTCAACTCCCCTCTGGCTGGCAGCGAGCTCACCAAAGAGCCTTTTCGCTGGGACCAGCGGCTGTTCGCGCTGGTACTGAGGCTGCCGGGAGCAGCCTCGCCGGACAACGAGCAGCTCGGCAGCGTCCCCACAGACGAGTCGGCGATCACGCAGATGTGTGAAGTCACTGGAGGTCTGGCGTTTTTTCTTCTTCGCCTTCTTCTCCGGTGCGTTAGTTGAGTTTCTCCGGCTGGACGAGAACTCATTGTGAAGTTTGATCCTCTCAGGACGGTCGTACTGCGTCCGAACACAACGGATGCTAAACCAGTGTCTGGAGTCTCTGGTGCAAAAGGTTCAAAGCGGCGTCGTCATCAACTTTGAGAAGACCGGGCCGGATCCGCCTCTCGGAGAAGGTGAATTTTTGACGCACACGCAACTTGAAAGCTGTAGGTGGAACAATTCTTGCATCCACATGAAAAGGTTAAGACTGAGTCCAGTCAGGTGCGACCTCGTCACATTTCCTACAGGTAACTGATCATGCATAATGTTGACAGAAGGAAACAGTATTTTTAACGTTTGAACAAAACAACTGATTTCACCTCCTGGTTTGTTTCATTGATTGGTAACATGAGAGTTTCTAGAAAAAAAAAGCGTTGCAAAAGTATTTGCAGTAGATTATATCTCATTACAACAACATACCCTGATAGTGGCGATGGTGTGAACTGGACTTACAACTGTTCGAATATTTCACTACGATAACTTTAAATACAGTCCAATGAAAGCACAGGATGCAACCTTAAAAAGTCTTGCAAGGTCTTAAATTACCATACATGCATTAAGGCCTTAAAATGTCTTGAATTTAGTTTAAAACATCATTTGGCTTTTCATATGTTAATTGCAGGTCGTAAATTTGATCTTGACAGGACTGATTAATGTCATATGTTCTGTTTCTGTTTCTCACGAGACTTTTCTGTTTGACAAAAGTTTGAGTCGCACTCAGAAGTCTTCATTGCATCCTGTGACTCGGGACATTTGAGGCTACCGCTAACTAGCTACTAATATTTCTTTGCTAGCTAGCTTTTTATCATGGATAAGTTCAATTTTATCCTCTCAGCCACTGAGTGAAGTTTGTACATTTCTGTGGCGAGATAGATCGTAATTTATAATCATAGTGGCCTTAAAAAGTCTTAAACTTGAGTTGGTGGGACCTGCAGAAACCCTAAAACCAACTGCCATCAGACGTCACCTAATTAGTAAACAACATTCATCACGAAGGCCAAGAAGACAGATCATGAAGGAAGTTTTTAATCATTGCTTCATAGAACAATATTCCAAACCTTAATCATCTTCCCATCCAATCCATCATCTAAATATTGGAAAGTATGTCACAACTCTAGGCTAAACCAAGAAATGGTCGTCCACCTCAATTGTCAGGCCTTGTCATCAGAACTTGTAAAGATGGCAGGCAAGACGAGGCCCGTAAATACTGTAGCTGGTTTGTCTGGCTTGTGGTTTTCCAGAAACAACAAACAGAGCAAACATGTGGAAGAAGGTTGGTAGGATGAGTCAGACGTTAAACATTGTGGCCTACAGGGACAATGTGATATAGATGCATAGAAAACCAACCCTGTACATCCCTGAATATGGGGCTTGCTTTTTAGATTTTTGTTTTTTATACAAAGTACCAATACAATACATATAGGTTTGTAGTTATAATGTGACAAAATGTGGTACATTTTCAAGACACTGTGTATAAGTTGTGTTAAAGATCCTAAATGGTATCAATATCTGCATATTTATTGGGTTTGTTTTGTTGTTTCTTGACCGTTTTAGACAATTCTGTGGAGTCCAGTCGTCCCGTTTCAACCTTCAACCCACAGCCCTGGCACAGCTGTCACAAACTAATCTACGTTCGACCAAACCCAAAGACGGGGGTCCCGGTCGGCCACTGGCCCATACCAGAGTCTTTCTGGCCTGACCAGAACTCTCCAACCCTGGTGAGCAGTTCTGTGTTAATCTGCTGCTTTTATTTCGGCTTTCTCATCTACTATGTTGTACCAATTTATTATGGGTTTTTCTTGGTGTATTTGAGGTACCGTCAAAGTATCCAGCGATTCAAATCTTTGCGCTAAATTCCTGTGCTAAATTCACTTCTTCACGTTCCCCCCAGCCGCCTCGCTCTGCTCACCCCGTGGTACGTTTCTCCTGTGTGGACTGTGAGCCCATGGTGATCGACAAACTTCCCTTTGACAAATACGAGCTGGAGCCGTCCCCACTCACCCAGTACATCCTGGAAAGGAAATCCCCGCACATGTGCTGGCAGGTAGACTGAACGCCGGCCGGGTTCCCCCTGTTTTTCTCGCTGTTGTGACGTTTAACATGATCGTTTGACGCCTCGTCCTCAGGTTTTTGTTAGCAGCAGCGGGAAGCAAAACGACCTGGGGAAACCGTTTGGCTACCTCAAGGCCAGCACCACCCTGACCTGTGTCAATCTGTTTGTCATGCCTTACAACTATCCGGTCCTTCTTCCGCTCCTCGGTAAGACTCCCAGCGCTAATCCCCAGATCGCCTGGGTCAGTAGATCACAGCTGGTACTAAATTTAAAATGGCTTCGTTATTTATCAATTAACCAATTTTATCGAATGATTCATCTATTTTATAGAGCGATTAATTGGTTCTATTAATTGTTCCTTAGTGCTGGTGCTAAATTCAAAATGGCTTCCTGATCACCACATCAATGTCATTGATCAATTAACTAATTTTATTGAATAACTCACCAATTTTAATTGATCGATTAATCTCTTTTATCGAGCGATTAATTGGCTTTATTCATCGTTTTTAGAGCTGGTGCTAAATTCAACGGCTTAATCAACCGATTAATCTATTTGCTCAGTAACCCTGAGTTGCTAAAAATGTCTCCGACGACCTGTTTTTCTCCTTTCAGACGATTTATTTAAAGTTCACAAGTTCAAACCAAACCTGAAGTGGCGACAGGCCTTCGAGATGTACCTGAAGACGATGCCTCCGTACTACCTCCTGGTAAACACCACTCGGCGTTTTATTGGTTGATTTGTTTCACCCTAACACTGTTCTACTCTCTGCTGACAGCCCTTAAAAAAGGCAATGAGGATGATGGGAGCACCGAACCTCATCGCCGACACGATGGACTGCGGCTTGAGTTACAGTGTCATTTCCTACTTGAAGAAGCTCAGCCAGCAGGTAAGCAGCTGTGAGGCCTGGAGAAACATCCGAATGTAATCCAGACATACAGTACTGTAAATGTTGATCCATTCTACCACATCCTGAACACGTCGGTTATGAATATTTAGTTCATCATCTCCATATCTGTTATTTACCCGGTTAAGATTTGTGTAGGACATTTCAGCGACAAGGCAGTTAAAGTGCTTTCCACCAGAACATGACCAGTTGTAAAAGAAGCACTTAACAGCACATTTTGTCAAATCTCATCATCGATGTCATCACGCAAATATACATCAAATATATTGATCAACGTTCCTCATCTGCTTATCAAAGGAAACTATGAATAGGTGGGATTTTGGCCCTTATTTAAAGGAGCTCCGTCTTTCAGCATATATTCAGTTTTCCGGAAGTTTGTTCCAGATTAGTGGAGCTATCTGAAACTCCACCATAGCAGCTTAGCGTAAACAGCCTCATATTATTACTACTTAACTGAAAAATCATTATGCTCCACACAAATTCCTAAATCAGTCTCACACTTTCAGTTTTTCACAGTAGATTCCAAAAGCATCAAAGTGTCTGGGAACTTTTGATTAACGCTCCATGACTTCCTGTTTCCGAGGAACATAAAAATGACTCGACACAGAGACACTTTCCACACTGGGAAAGACTAGAAAACTGAATCCTAACATTCAGTTAGAGCCAGTTGAAAGCGCTTCAGATGGATATGTTCCAGTCACATACTGGTAACCCAGTTAAGATCAGGTCGCAGACATTTTTTCAGAAAGTCTCAGACACTAAGAGTATCTGCAATAGTTATAGACTCAGTTTCTTAAATCTTGTTTTTTTAAAGGTTTTATCTCACCACATTTTTGTTTCCTATTTTTTTGGTGTTTGCTTTTTTTTTTCACTGAAGGCAAAAATTGAATCAGAACGCCTAATTGTGTCCGTGGGGAAAAAAGCGCCTCAAGAAACGGGCATAAAGGTGAAGAACCACTCCAGCGCTCTCTCTCTGGCCCACCGGCGGGACTTCAAGCAGCTGCTGCAGGGAATCACCGGAGAGGGGCCTCTCCGCCTGGTCGACATCAACTTCAAAGAGTTCGCCGGCTTCCAGATCGCTCTTCTCAACAAGGTGAGAACGGCGGCGCGCTTTCAGTGCAGAGAGGTCTGGTGTTCACTGAGCGGTTTCCCAACAATATGTCTCCGCAGGATGTGAAACCGCAAGCTTACCGGAACGCCTACGACATCCCGAGGCGAAACCTCTTGGATCAGCTCACCAGAATGCGCACCAACCTGCTGCGGACCTCTTTGAAGCTGATCCGAGGCCAAGACGAAGGTCCGACCGACATCTTTAAAAAATAGGAGACGCAGACGTCCGTTTTCAATCTGAATGTGTTGACGTGAGTGTCTCTGTTGCTGTTAGACTTCCTGCATAGCATTCCAGTGGCCCAGATGGGAAACTACCAGGAGTACCTGAAGATGATGCCGTCTCCGTTGAGAGAGATTGATCCCGATCAACCCAAACGGCTTCACACGTTTGGGAATCCTTTCAAGCAGGATAAAAAGGTAAACATTTGCCGACCGCTGCAGTGTGCAGGCGATCCCTCGAGCTTTTTCACATCTTGTCAAATCACAACCGGAACTCTAAACTCTGAGCACTGAGTTAATGGGAAGGAAACAGAAAATGATGCATGGGTGTCAAATATTTTACTTGACAAATTTTATTCCGAAACATCTCCGCCACATTTTTTGGTTTTTGTTTCTAAAAGTTTTGAAAACCACGCCTCGTTTTGCTTCCTTTCCTATGAATACCTGTGCAGCGTGTCGTGTCTACTCGGCCGGATACGGACCCGTTGTCTTGGTTCTGCAGCTCTGTTGTCTCCTCTCCAGGGCATGATGATCGACGAGGCAGACGAGTTCGTGGCCGGACCTCAGAACAAGAAGCGGGGCCACTCCGGCGACCCCAACTCCGGCGGCACCATGAAGCGAAGACGGAGCATGTCCCCGTTGCTGAGGCGACCTCAGACCCCGCCTGGCAGCACCAACCACGTGGCGGTGGGGAAGAGTCCAGGCCAGCAGAATCTCCTCAAACCCCCGTCACAGCACAAAGGTAGGATGAAGAAGGAAAACCCGATTCTAATGTAGTTCAGAAAAGAGAAAGAAAAAAAAATCAATTTTTTTATTGAGAACAGATGGGAACAACATGGTGCTCGCCGAGAGCAACGGCGACGGCGTCCTCGGCCTGGACTCTGGCGACATCTGGCCCGGCGAGGCGGACGCGGAGGCGCTCTGTCCGTCTCCGTTGATACTGGAGGACAAGACGGGATTGGCGGCGCCGTTTCAGGCGGAAGAAGCGAGTGCGGTGGAGGACGAAGATCACCTGGAGGAGCAGACGACGGAGGAGAGGCACAACTGCGACCGCCTGAGCCCGCAGAGCGAGCTGGACGGCAGCGAAGACGACTTCGGCGTGCTCGACACCATTTACATAACCCCACTGGACAGCTGCCAAGCCGAGCTGAGGAGCAGAGTCATCAAGGAGGTCCGCAAACCTGGACGGAGTGAGTACAAACCAGGCAGCCGGATCTCAGTGTGGGAATTCATCAGTTCTTACCTCAATCTGTGTGTGTTCTTCCCCAGACTATAAATCCATAGTCAGTCTGCTGCAGCAGGTGAAAGGACCGGTGAACGTTCGAAAGTACTTCATCCAGCATGCAATCAAAGAAGCTCTGAGGTAAGAAACATGAAGCTGTACTTTTTTTTAAATTAGCGATGCTTCATCTTATAAAGTTATTCCCCCTCAAAAACACGCCTGGAGTGTCGCTTTGGTTCCTTGAAATCCTTTATAATCCATGGACACCATTCAGCTCGGCAAAACGCCTGCTGGGACCTAGCTGCATCTTCTAGGCACTTCTCCTCCTCAGAGCTGCGATTTCCGAACCTCAGAGCTTCCGCTTCACAGAGCAGCCCTTCCCCAGCTCCTTCAGACTAGCCAGAAGGAATTAGCAAACACCTGGTGGAACTGCGCATCTGCTGAGCTCATTATAGGAGCTACTTCTCAGTGCAATGCTGGTAAAAACAGCCATGCTTTGATGACTTCCTGACAGTGGCTTTTCAAAAAGAGAGGGAGTTTCTTAAAGAGACAGAGGCCCAATGTAAAGGTGTTAAGATACAAAGTGACATTTAAGTCATATTTGTTACATGTAGCATTTTTATAACAACTGAAGGTGACATAGTTACTTGATTATGCTACAACATGGCAGCCTGTGCCTGGAAAACACATATCGCTGCCCCTTTAAAACTGATTCATGGGTTAAGAGTGGCCTAGTCAAAGTGTGGGTCTAAATAAATAATAGAAATGAATGTTCTACATCCAGTCTTATTGTGCCTGAACCAAAATAAAAGGTCTCATCTACCCAGCTGCTGCTGGGTTTCCCGCAGGGTTACTTCCTCTCCTCTGAACCTTCAAGCCGCTCCGCTTCCTGTCTGACTTCCTGCCTCCGCCTCATGAAGCTTAGTTTTGTTTCGCCAGGTTCAAGAAGCGCATGTTGATCCAGCAGCTGGAGACCGCCCTGGCCGAAGTGGAGGACGACTCGGCGCCGTGCTCTCCGCTCTCCAACGATCACGGCAGGTAGTAAACCCCACAGAAACCCTCTGGCGTCCTGTCTCGTTTTTCATCGCCGCGAGCGGAGGATTCAGAGATGCAGAGAAGGAAAGCGCCGCCGTCGCGTTGTCGTCGTTTAACTGGATGGCGGGGAGGGGTCCGTCAAGAGCTGAGCCGCGTGCGACGAACACGGCGACGCCGACAGAGACCGTAAACACCCGGACGGCTTTTGTCAGTGAGGACAAGTCCAGCAGACTCAGGCACTCCTTTACACGAAAAGTCACACAGCTGGCCTGGTCCGCACATGTGTCAGATACTGGTCATGTACTGGTTTCCTCCCCCAAATCACCCTGGCTGTTACAAACAGACCCGTTTTCAGCTGGTCTGAAAGTTGTTTTCGTGTATAAATATTCTTTTACACGACTAAAAAAGGAAAAAAAAGCTTAAACATTCATGTAAAGTTGTGGCTGACAGGACGAATTGGGTTAAGCCAGATTACGTCTGCAACAAAAACACCGCACTGATTTTATTATATTTTATTTATTTATTTATTACGCTTTTTTTTTTTATCTACGTTGATCCTGTTACCTAATATCTGACTATTTTTAGTTGATGCTGAGGGGTTGTGCAATATGGAAAAGAGCTTAACAAGAATAATAATAGGAAGAAATCTGGACATTCAACTAATATAATCAGTCCAATGAAAATAAAAGATGAATCATTTGGATCATTCGGCAACTAAATAAGTGGGATTATTATTTAAAGAGACGGTACGCAGGCTGAAGAAATGACTCGCACACATAAACAGAGGAAAGCTTCGCTCATCAATGGCAGCAAATCCCTCAAATGTCCAATAATTGTAATGAACAAAAATTGTACATTATTTTAAAATGTTAGTCTGTATTCTGATACTTCTTAGCTCATTGACACATTGCTCAACCTCAGTCAGTATTTGTTTTACATATATATATATATATATATATATATATATATATATATATATATATATATATATATATATATATATATATATATATATATGTAAAATGGTTTTAAGCATCCAAATTGGATCAACATTCTTACTATTTGGGCATATTGTCAAACATGGTGTAAATCTTATACAGTTTTTTTTTATTCCTTTTGAAATGCACCAGCATTTGTTTGCGTCAGTATTTTGGGATACAAACGTTGAGATCATTCTTGACTCTACAACACCCTTCAAAAGCTGTAAAATAATTTCCTCTTTCATTGCTGTAGCATTATCTCACACGGAAACATGTAGAAGAATGAAAACAAACCTTTAAATGTAAGTGTGTTCACATCACTGTCCTGTTGAAGGACTTCAATGTTTTTATTTTACTCACCTGTTCGACCAGAAACTGGCCCACAGCATTACAAGTCCACTACCCTACTTAACAGTGGGTGTGAGGTGCGTTACCATATTTTCATTCTTTGTTTCACGCATATTGTGAAAAAGCTCAGCCTTAGTCTCATGAAGCTCATTAGCTAAACCGGTTTGAATTTTTCTGATTTCCTTTGTGAGGTGAGTCTGCAGCAGTTCGAGGCGTTATCTTTACCAGAAATGTGGAGGCTGCTGTATCTGACACAAAGCAGACGACGGTGACTGGTTCTGAAAACGAGCTTTCTGGTCAGCAGCTAGTACAGGTTGCAGCTAACTCTCACCGCCTGGCACCGCCACATACCACAAGTAACTGTCACAGCATCGGAGTCGCTCCGATGATCCCGTCGGCCCACCGTTCCCAACAGTTTTCCTCCTGGAGTCCAGGCTCAGCTCTTTTACCCTCCTCCTCTCTGCAGCTTTTCTTTGTTCTCCTGGTTGTTTCTACAAAATGTACACTACTTTTTAATGTTCATAGGCAATATAGATTATTTTTGTGACTTTATGTCAGAGTTAAAGAAATATTTTGAAAGCCATTTTTTTTGTAAACTGTTAAATCCATATATGAATCGCAAAGTTTTAAGATAATCTTTTTAAAACAAATAAAAGTTCAAAGGAATCGTCTAGTTTGGCGTTTAATGTGTTTTCATCTTACAGGAGGATTTTAGTCCTCCACATATACAGAGAACCTACCAGCCAGTAACCATAAAAACATGCGTTTTTTCTTTAAGCCATTTTAAACCCCACTTGAAACTGCAGTGTGTAACTTTTTAAAAAAAAAAAATTAAAAAAAAGATTTTTTTTGCATATTTCTTTAAACTGGCAGAAAAAAATCAAGCCACTGACCCACTCTTTCCATCTGCAGCAACAAAAGCTCTTGGTCAAAAAGATCCAGTCAGAGGGTCTTAAAGCTGTCAATAAGTCCCATGTACACGCTGCTAAATGCGCACAGACGAAAACTGCTTATCTGTAGTCATTGGTGGCCATCCTAGCTAGCTTTAGCGTTCATGACAGGCTCTGCTGATGGGGAAAAAAAACTGTTGTCTGTGTACACATGAATGATTGACAGCACAAAGACCCTCCTCCTGGCTCTGATTGGTTGTTTCTGACCTAACTGTGTTTTTATGCAGCTAGAACTGGGGAAAAAACCAAAAAGCTAATTTTTTGTTTTTTTAAGATTATCTGTCTCATGTTAACCATCACAACATATGGACAGTCTAAACAAATGTCAAAGAAAATGACATTAAAGAAATACTGCAGCTATAATTGCCATAATTTGCACAAGATTTGCATTCCTTTTCAAAACTTAAAAATGCAGTTTTGTCTTCTCAGTGTAAATAACTTGTATTTCATTATGTTATAAACTCTTACACTTGGTTAAATCAGTCTGAAAACATACTTTTCATCTACCCACATTTGAACGTTTGAGGCTACTCTACTGCCCCTTAGTGCCCAACACCATCAACTACAACTTGTCTTTCATCACATTAAGTGATCACAGCCCATAAACTACAATTATTCAGCCACGTAGTCATAAAAATCATTTTTCATTTTTATCATCAAGTTAAAACATCTGCAGTGATTGAAATATATAAATAAAAACATCCACTTTGTAAAACCAGTATGAATTTTATTAAATTAAAAACAGTCTGTAGGATGTCAACAAAACGTAAAAATAATGGAAAACTAAACTCGCGGAAATGAACCGAGCTGTTTGAATCTTAAGGTCCAAAGTGTCATTAGAAAGACTGTAATGTTTCCTGCTTTCACTTCTCACCATCCTGATAAACAACTTCCCTCGCAAACAAGATACACTGAGGCTGCAGGACGACATTCGGGGAAACAAGGGGGATCTTTTGTTTATAAAGCTCACATCTACAAACTTAAAACTTGGCCTGAGCAGCGGTGGGAGAGAAGTGAGAGGGTGAAATCAAACCACCGTGGAAAATAAATTCAAAAGCAGTGCTATTCTGTTTTAGCTCAAAAGAGAAAAGAAAAACAAAAAACAGAAGGGTTGGCACAGTCAGTGTCGATTATGGTGGGAACCACTTTATGGACAGAGATGCAAATTTTGGACAGCATATTAGTTTATTAATAAATAAAACTTTTTTAAGTGGAAGAAGTTAAGTTCTCAGAGCCCTCCCCCTGGCTAACAAAAACAAATCCTATCAGGGCGGTGAGAGGGTCTGAGGCGGGCGGGGCCCCGGCTCAGTGCTAATGCTCCAGCTTGCGTAGCCTGATGGGGTTGGACAGAGCCTGCTGGTTGGAGGACGGCTCCTCCTTCGGCGTGCGGAACAGGACCCGACCTCGATGGTTGAAGAGGTAAAACGACGGGTGATTCCTCAGTGTGTCAAAAGTTCTGAAAAAAAAAAAAGATAAAATAAAATATGGTTCTAGTTACCAAAAATACAGCTGGACACAAACCTCTGGGAAAGCCAGTGCTATCCTTACTTTAGACGAAGATGTATCATCATTAAAAAGCCTGAAATCAGTTGTTTGGAAATCTAACAGGGCACCAAAAATGCAAACAGGATGCTTCCATGTCATCGCGACTAATTGTCTGATTCACACTTTCTTCTCAGGAGAGTCGTTATATGAACTTCATTCATATAAACACTCCTAAAGGTCCGAACAAGCCTTTAATCTAAGACCTGTGATGTGCAAAGAAAAATTGCATTTTATATAGAAATGGTTCTCGGGCTGCAATGAACAGTTATCTTAGTGATTGATTAATTCATCAGTTATTCTAATGATAATCGGATTTTAAAAAATTGCACATACAGATTTTTCATTTAACCACTTGAGCCATTTTTTTAATACAATATATACAAGACAGTGTAGAAATATAGAAATATTTTATTTGCTAAAATGCAACGGCATAGCATTCATTTCACAAATTTGAGCTGGCCGAAGCTAACTACGACACTGGAGTTTTGGCTAAAACCTATTTACAGACAAACATGTTCTTAGCTTAAACGCAAAATGTATACCTATTTGTAAGTATAAAAATGTATTATGTAATTCAACAGTTTTGGTTTAATTTCTGCTTTCAATGTTGAGAAATGTGCCTTTTTTAGTCTGTGTACTCCAGTTAATAATTAATAAACTACTAAATTAGTTGACGATTACCACAATAATCAATTAATGACAATTATTCATTTCATCTCTAAGGAGTTCCAGAAAATAAACGCAACATCCTATTGGGTTAACAACAGAAGTGAGTCAGTGGTGAAGATGAACGTCATTCATTTACACTGACCCATGACAGATCCAAAAAGCTAGCTAGATAGCAAGGGTATATTAGCAGTAACCACAACCCGCCTATAATCACAGAACATAATGACATGTGTGAATCAAATGTTTGCCTGACACAAAAGTCCTGCAAGAAAAACTCCATTGACTGAATCGTCTCATCAAAACCAAAAGAAAAAAAAAGACTTGCGATTAACACATTTAAGACCAACTTACATTTTTATGAACTTAAGACAAAATATAAGGTCTTAATTTTATATACATATATTTAAGACTTTGGTACGTCTTCCAGAATGCCAGTCTCTTGTTTTTTCTTGGAGATAAGTGGCTTCTTCGCTGTCCAGTCTCAACCACACAGCACATGCAGAAACACTCATATCCGTCTAAAGCCTTTCCTGAACAAACTTTGCACAAGTGGTAATCTAATAATGTAGTTGAGACCTCTTTAAGAGACACTTCCAGCACTTCCTTGATTTTCCCAAGTCTTCACGCAAACCTAGACTAAATGAAAATACTGACCAAGACTGTAGGTTCCCTGCATTTTCCTGAAATGTTTACTTCATCGCTAGTAGTGGTTAAAGAAGATGCATCGTGGGGTAAACATGCATCTGGCTGCACAGTAACAGCTAGCCTTGACGTAACGGCTGTGTTATGGGACTTTGGTTAATGTCTTGGGTTAAAGCCCAACAGAGCTGCGCCTCTAAATGCATCTGAAAGTGCAGCGGCTCCCCTGTGACAAGGGGAACCAACAGTTCCCACATCGAGGGGATTGGTGCGCCGCTCTTACTTGTTTTTCAGCTCTGAGGAAGCATCCATGTCCTTGAACTCTCCAGCAATGTGGACAATCCCGTAACAGGTCATCACAAATGACAACAAGGTCTGCAGGACAATCTGAAACGGAAGGGGCAGCGAAAATGAAAGCGATGAATATGTGACACTTATAAGTCTGACATTTGTTCGTGTGCTTTCTTTCTTTAGTTTTCACTTGTGTTTTGCATCATTGACACGTTTTATGGGCACTTCGATGACTTCTAAACCGTGGAAAATAGACAAAAGTGCATGCAGTGCAATTGTGTTGCATGATATCTTCTTTGGAAGAAAAGCCCTGAAGTTACTCACGTCAATTGGTAGCGTCTCGTGCTCCTTCTCTGTGAGCCGCATGTATGATCGATCTGCAGGGAGAGATGGGATTGAATGAGACCAGGAAGCACGACTCCTCCATCAATCAGGACCAAACGTAATGACATTTAAATGTTGTCGATCAAAGCCTTGAAAACACAGAAATGTCACCACGGGAGTGAATGCATCGGTGTCAAAGGTGAGTATTAATGCATTTCCGCCTCAGAGCTGACAGAGCGGAGCTAAGCTGCCACAGGCAGGCCCGCGGTGCCGACCTGCCGGTCAGACCGACCAGAACCAGCCGACGCCGGCGGGACAGCCGCCGCTACGCGGAGAAACTCACGCTGTGCCGCCGAGAAAGCCGCGTGGGCTAAGGCAAAGAGCCCCACGCCGACAACACCTTTCCAGAACGACGAAGCCATCTCGAAGCTGGGCGCAGGGGAACTGTGGGCACTGCCGTAAAACGTCACACAGCGTCGTAAGAAGTCGTAAATAACCACTGCGTCATAATATTGGAACCGTAATGCCCGATGAATATATGGGACAAAAATCCATTGCGACACACAGAAATCTGTGACTCTAGTTTTCTGTGAAAATAAAAAAATCATAATTGTTTTGGTAACTTTTTTGGGGCGGTAGCGGATTCAGACAGACAGCCTTCAGGAATTCTGCTTTTGTTAGCTCGGAAATAATCATTTCCAATGTCCCTGTTCTTATTTTTACTGTAATTTATTTTTTCTTCTAATCTGGGACACATGCCTTTATCTTTAATTGTCAGTCTACTGATTAGTTTCACACAAACCTGTCAATATATATACTTCTTAACATATATCTTGTTTACGTTTCTGAAATAATAATAATAAAATACCTCAAGAGCCGTTTGCCTGATAGAAACGCAGAAATCCCGAGTTTTCCGTATGCATTGAACGCCCCACAACATCCTGTCTGCCCACTGCTTCTTCCTGTCCGCTAGCGCTGAGTTCTCATGTTGTACAGTTAAGCTTTTTGGCACATTTGTCTCATTTATAACGCCGTTTAAAGCAAAATAACAAACATGGCAGAAGCCATTCAGAAGAAGTTAAAAGCGGAAGTTGAAAAGTATACGCAGACGCAGAAAGGTGAGGGCTTACGAGCCTGGTTGAGGCGGCTGCCATGCCGCACCAAGCTAGCGTCCCTTACCGGGGCAGTTTGCGGTGTATAAATACACTATATGAACGCGTTTATTTGTCGTGGTGGCGATCCAGGTGTGCTGATGTACCGCTGTCTGTTTCAGATGTCAGCAAGAGCGTTTCAGCCCGACAGAAGCTGGAGACACAGATGGCAGAGAACAACATCGTTAAAGAGGCAAGTCTTTCTCTTTTGACCGCAAATCAAACACCGAGCTTTGGGTTGTTACCGTAACGCGTCTCTGTCCAGGAGCTGGATCTGCTGGACGGCTCCAACACCGTCTTCAAGCTCATCGGCCCGGTGTTGGTGAAACAAGACTTGGACGAGGCTAAAGCCACGGTGGCAAAACGACTGGAGTATATTAATGGAGAAATGTAAGGAAAAACATCCGTGCCTTTACTATACAGTCCGTACACTTCATATAGAGATTACATGCAGTGGCTTTTGAATTTTATAATTGTGCAGTGTTTTACACTGCTCTGTCGAAAATAACATTTGGTGCAACAAATAGCTTTAAAAGAAAAACTAATCTAATATTGTGTATTATGTGACAAGATGTGGAAAGCTCCAGGGTGAATTTCTGTTTTGTTTTTTTTATTTGGGTAGGAGGAATGTATTTATGGACAACATGACAAAAAGGCAAGGGTCAAACGTTTTAAAGATAATACCACTGAAGGAGAAATAAAAAGAAGGGAATTCCCATCTTAAAGTAACGCAGTTAAAACAATGGCAGGGTTTTTTAGAGGTGTTTCTATAAGAATACAATTCACCAAAAAAAAAAAGAAAGAAAAGAAAGACATTTTGTGTAATTATAACAGAAGAGCAATACAACCAGGTTGCATATACAAGATTTTCATTGGAATTATTCCCGACAGTGTGTCTTTAAACAAGTTAATCTTTGCTATTTAAATCAGTGGGCCTCCTGTTGTTATTCTTAATCCCACAAAGCCAGTGAAACTCGCACTTTATTCAGGATTAAGTTTGAGATTAGCCATGATACTGAGGAGAATGATGAAACATTTGGTAAATAGGTTAAAAAGCAGGAAATGGTTGAGTGTTAAGCAAGTTGTTTGTTGTGTGAAACGTCTTTTCATGGTTCTTCCTACTTTCCCACAATAGGAATATTTATACATAGCAAGTCAACAAACCGTACTGACCACCAGCTTGTTCTGAATGTCTCTTTAAGTATCGAGACTTTGGCAGATTTTTCCACCGTGTTTGGGTGTTTGGTCTGCTCTTACCTTGCACCCCTTTCCTTCCTGTCCCGTTGCAGTCAGAGATATGAGACGCTCCTGAAAGACTATCACAAGAAATCTGAACAGCAGCGAGAAGTCCTGACCAGCTTACAGCAGGACCTGCAGAAAGCCCAAGGCCTCGCTCCTGCAAAAGCATGATCCGGGGACCCTGGCGCATTTCAAGCACGCTGAACACCCAGCCCAGGGACTAAAACACAATGTACATCTGTTTCATGAGCTGAGTAAATTCTGCTTGTACCTTGTTGTTAATTTGCAATGTTCTTACTGTGACTGTTCTTCTGATGTTACTAATAAACATTTGTTTTCCATTTCCCTGTGTGTTTATTGGAGAGGTTTAAATTATGTAGCAATATAAACGAGTGTTATAATAATAATGAGGGAGTGGTTGTCGGTTATAAAACGACTGTTTACGGTGATAAAGACGAAAAAACACAGACTTTCTTAAACTAAGAGGTTTCGTTAGCTTGTCTACCGCTTTTATATGTTAGTTTTTCGGGCCGCACGGACTCCCGACTGAAAACCAACACTTCGTCACTGCCGTGTTTTCCCGCACGAGCCCTTAACAGTGGCGCACGTGGGACAGTAGAGCAGTTCTCACCTTCAGGTGCGGCGTTTTTGTAGCGCGCGAGCCCAGCGAGGGCCCGTAAAGACGACCGACGCGTGTCCAATGTTGTCGTTTTTCCCCTCGGACCCGGCTCGCGCGTCCTCAACGGAAGAAATCCGGAGAAAGTCACTTCCGGTTGGTTCCTGTGCGTTTTTACTGGACTTAGCGGCGGTGGCCATTTCAGTACGGCACTACATACGTGCCGGACTCGTCCTTGAGAATATATTGAATAGTTAAAGGTGCTTTTTAATGGCGTTCCAGGTGACGCTGCTCCGTGGACTGGACTTTGCGTGGGTGTTGCTGTGTTGAAACCGAGCAGTGGAGCGTGGGAACCTGGAGCCTCAGGTGGTTCTGCTGCAGCCAAAAGGTGTTCGGTCAACTTTTCCTTTATTGCCTTCTGTCTGCTGTGAGAACCATCAAACACTTGCTAGAGCCAACTGGGAACCAGTATGACACTGTGGACATCTGCTCCTAAAGATCCAGCTGCATTAACACCTCTTGGTTTTGTGTCGATGGTTCTGCTGGGCCGGTTTAATCCGCGTTTAAGCCAATTCCTGCCCTAATGAAAGCTCTAATCTGATTCCAGCTTTAGTTGATTCACTTCAGTCCTGTGTGGTCTTCTGTTTTTCTTCATCTTAAAGCTGCCAGGGGCTCTGGAGAGCATCCTGCTCATCCCAGCGGGACTAACACCTCTTTGGATGCGGATTGTTGTCAGAATGTAGACTCATCCATCCATTCATCCACCCTAAAGCAAAAAACCAAACAAAACAACAGCTAAAAAAACAGCCTGTTGAGGATGAATGGGGATTTCTGAGAAGCGCTTCCCTTGCTTTTGTTTTTCAGCATTCTTGGACTTTTTTTTTTTTTTTTTAGAAATACATTATGAATATCAGCATTGAAATTCTATTAGTAAATTCATTCCTTAAAACAAAGAAATGCATTTTAATTATTTTATTTCTTTCTCTTTTTTTACACTTTAAAATGTCAATTCTGTCAGCACTAATTTGCAGTATGGAAAAAATATCTCCACCTAGTGGAAAACAGTAAAACCTGAAATACTGAGGGACATTTACTTAGACTTAGACTTAGACTTTATTGATCCCTTGGGAAGACTCCCTCAGGAAATTAAAGTTACCAGCAGCTCACGGGCAAAAAAGTGGCATACAGTAAGCATACGCAAAAGCATACAAAATATACAAATTAAATACAAGGTACACAGTAAATGTAATAAGGATATAAATACAAAACAAAGAATATAAATACAACACAAAAGGAAAATATAGGAAAATAGGAACAAATTGCAATGAAAATCAAATGCGGGTCAGTTTTGCAGAAAAACAACACGCACTCTGTTTAGTTGAAAATGCTTAGAGGATAATTGACTCCCATAAAAATTTAATTTTGTCCAAAGTACAGCGAGGCCACATTGTATCTGGTTGACATCAACACAGTCAAACGCTTTAAAAAATTTTAAAATAATAATCAAAACACACAGAAACATGTCCTGTCTCTGTATTTTTCACACAGTCAAAAGTAAATTTGTGCTTATTAAGACTTTTTCCACTTTGCTCGGGGTCGTGGCTAAAGCACTGACTGGTTTTCTTCTTTAAAATGTGTCAGGACAGGTTTGCATCCAGACAAACGACTGAAAGCCAAGACTTCATATCTCACCAAAGCAGGGCAGAGCGGCTACAATTTGGACTCAAGTAAGATGAACACGACTTCAACTTATTTTTATTGAAGTAAAAGTGAGACGTAGCCAATGAAGAAAATGACTCAAGTTGGGGGAAAAAAGCATTTGGTAAAAAGTCTAGTGAAGTACTGAACAACTCATCAGAATATCAGTCATTTGATATTTAAAAAGTGCATCAACAGACGGAATAAAGCAGAAAGTTAAGTGGAGATGTTGGTATTTTAAAATGACAATAATGCACATAGCTGGCAAAACATAACAAAATCAGACAAACGATTATGTTTCCAAATCCGTTTCGTTCAAAAAAAAAAAAACAATATCTGCTGGTGTGTGTGTGTGTGTGTGTGTGTGTGTGTGTGTGTTTGTGTGCGTGTGTTTGTGTGTGTGTGTGTTTTTCTGGTGAATTTTTGGTTAAATTTGTTTTTCATTCAAAATCTAGAAATTTTACTCAAGTAATAGCGATACTTCATAGTAAAATTACTCATGTACAACAGCTAAGCTAGTAAAAATACTGATAAAAGAATATATTTAGAAAAATAAACAAAAAAAGCAGTGATGATCGTTGATTCAGTTTTATTTCTTTATTTCTCTTTTAGGTGAATGCATTTCTATTGTCTGCCATGTCTTGCATTCAGACCCACAAGTGCTTTGCAAACTTTCATTTCCATCACAGCTGGAAGGTTTCGGGAGGGGTGTCTCTTCCCCCTCATTCATTTGAGCAGCTCTCAGGCCTGGACTTTGACTGGGCCGTTCTAACACATAAATATGCTTTGATCTGAACCGTTGTGTTGCAGCTCTGGCTATGTGTTTAGGATTGTTGGAAGCTGAACCCCCGTCTCCAGCCTCAGGTCTTTCACAGCTTTCCTCCAGGATGGCTCGGTATTTAGCTCCTCTCTTTGCTGAAGAAAAGAATCCTCTTAGCATGTAGTGCTGGTAGTTTTCCATCAGACTCTATGATTTGCATTTAGATTAAAACAATTAACATTCAGTGTTATCTCACAAGAGCACATTCCTCCACATGTTTACTGTGTTCAGTACAAACTGAGCCAATAGGTTTCACTTTTCTATGAAGGGATAGATCTGTGGAGAGTATTACTGATAGTTGTCCTATTGACAGAGGCGATGCCAAGGGGGAGCTGAGGGGGCATAGGGCCCTGTAGAAAAATGCAGGTAATCATGTTTATATCACAGAAAGGTACACGGAGTAATTTCTTCAAATAAAACATTTATGTAAAACCCAATAAATAAACACAAACTAACTATAGACAAAGTAAATAAATGAAATTGCTTTATTTTTAGCTTATTGGGCTGGTCTGGCCACCTCTTTATAAAAAACTTTTCATATTTCAGTCATTTTCCTTCGAATTCACAATTGTGCTTTACTGTTTTGAATCACATCAAATAGCAATAAACGAGCTACAAAATAGTCATGAAAGACTCTAATTAAGCATGATATTAATCTTTGTTACATGACTGAAATGTTTAAGAAGTTTAAACATTGTAGTTCTGTAAAAGCTCAGTGAGATATGGCAAAAATAAAATAAAATCATGGCCTTTGTCACTTTTCTTTGGCAAAAAATGATTTAGGCAAAAAAAAAAATAAAGAATCACTTTTGGCAAAAAAAAAAAATGACGTCAGTCGCCAGTTTAGGAATGTGATGACATCAGTTTACTGATATATAAATCTGGATGTATATTCTAGATCATGTCCACCTAGACAGAAATTAACAGGACAAACTTTGTGGACCAGAATCCTTTTTATTTGACAAAAAAACACAAGAGTGTGAGTTTCCCTGCAAGAGGAACCGGCTGGGTTTAGACCTCGCTGTGGATTAGACGCTGCCAAGCAGTCTGCTCTCTGAACACGTGCGAATCACAGCAATCCTCTCCCACTCTACATGTGAAAAAAGTCGTCAGAACACCATTTAGGGACTGGGGCTCTCTCATCAACATGTCAATGGGCATCATAACTGCTGTCCAATCTGGATGGAGTACGTGTTAATGTTCCTCTGGAGGCTGCAGGAACCTTCAGGAGGTCACTCTGGAGGAAGGGCCAGGAAACTGCTGAATGAAGGACAATCATGAAAGCACTCTGCTGATGTGTGTGTGTGTGTGAGAGAGAGAGAACAAATCAACAACACACCACCACCCGGTGTGTAAAGAAGGACCCTTCATGCACGAGTCAGGAGCCACAGCGCAAGAAAATAACATACAACAACTTGAAAAGCCTACATCAGAAAATCCACATCTGCATTGGTTGTGATATTGAAAAACAATCTTGATCAGGTATTGGTGACAATGTGATCCATAAAGGCAGATCTATGCAGTCTAATTCTATGCTGTGTACTAGAATTTAAATTCCTGATTCCATTTTCTGAACCACTTTAAAGAATCTTTGCTGGATTTTTTTTTTCCACATGATTGACCAGCGTCCCTTGTTTATACAGGTACTTTCAAAAACTAATTTAAAAAAACGGTGTGTCCGTTATTTAGGCCAGGGTCTCCAGACTGGGTCGGGGACCGTCGTGGAGGAGGCGAAGGAGAGCGTCTGCCTGGTTTCGGGCTCCTGTAAGACGAGGCGCCGAGGGGAGAGAACGGCGGGGACGTCGGCGGGGGCGACCGGCGGGGACGCGCAGAGCGGGACCGGGGAGGAAACGGCGGTCGGCAACGTGGAGAGCTTCAGCGAGGCCTGCAGCGCGTTGGCCTCCTCCAGCTCCAGGCTCTTGCAGGTGATGAACTCGCTGACCCGCAGCAGGCAGGACCTCATGCCGTCGTGGTAGCTGTGGTGGGGGCCGTCGGCGGGCTGCTGCTCCTCGGGAAACGCCTTTCTGGCGGCCCGGTGGTCCTTCTCTTTCTTCAGGAAGTCAACGACGCTCTCCAGGATCTCTGCCTTCTCCACCTTCGGGTTCTTCAGCTTCTGCAATAGCAGAAACGTGAGAGAGAGAGAGAAATGAAAAATGGCGGCAGGTCAATTCAGCGAATTCTATAAACAGTAAAATTGCAATAGAGGTCAAACATCTAAGAGTCGCAGGAAGTTTCAGTCTTGTGAATGCTTGAAGTAATTTCTTTATTTGCTCTATTTATTTACACCTAAACCATAAACCAAAAGTATAAAATTCAGATGACTGTTAGTGTAAAACACATCGACATGAGATTTTTGTTCTTTCCACAACACTAGAAAAAAAACAACTACTGTTGACATTTAGTCATTTTTTATGTAGTTTACATCAACAGATGCATTTATTTATGAATATGTATGTTGCACTTTTGTGCTATTTAATGATCTAGTGTGAAGAGAACACATGTTTACCTGGAGATCAACTATTTATGTTTACAGAAAAATCCTATACAATTAAATAAAAATGAATCTTTTTATGTCTGCATTTAGGATAAATCTAAAATTACATATATACAGCCTAATTTTAAATATATATATATATACAGATCAAATCAGTTGCCTAAACTCGTCGTAGAAGGCGACTACTGTTTCGTGGCTGCTACCAAACGACCAAAGCTACGAAATGACTGAACCCCGAACCAAACGCACCCCCGGTTCCGACATTAAAGCTCAGCGCTGCTGAAATGAATCACTCACCTCGTTCTGGGTGTTTTCCAGCATCAGCAGCCGTAAGGTTTCCAGGCTGCTGTTGATTCGCTCCCGTCTGCGTTTCTCCATCACGGGTTTGGACGCCTGCAGGAGCCGAGAGGAAAGCACGTTGTTTAGTTGTTGTTGAATTGCTGTAGTTCACCACAGTCTGCTCTCCTCACCTTCCTCCTGGATTTGTGTCCCGGAGTCTCGGGTGTCGACAAGGTATTCATGCTGCTTCCCTTCCTGAACCAACGCTCAAACTGAACGAACGGCGCGGAACGTTCCCTTCCATTGATTCTCTGTCGATTCCATTAGCCACGCCCCCAGCCGTCCTACGTCACTCGGAGGCCACAGAGAGACCACAGGGTTCACGTTGGGCCCGTTTTACGCACGAACCACTTTTGAATTGAGGTTCAATCCACAAAGTGATCAGAAATGGAAAACAAATGCAGCTTTTGTGAAAATATAATGAGATTTATTTTAGCTTTGGCTCGTTTTTTTTCTTCTTCTTCTCCTTTTATCAGTATAACATGCAACATCATTTCATTCAGTGCTCATCTATTGCTCTCTTTAGAGTTGGGACTTTGACTACAAATAAAAACAAAGTCAAACAAAACGACCAGCTGCAACATTTCCTTTTCATATTTCCCCCTTTTTTTGTTGCTAAAAGTAAAAAAGCAACAACAACAAAAAAAGAACCTGCACAAAATCTTTTTAGTAAACAGTTCATCAGGCACAAAATCCCAGTTCAACCATGAAGCATTTTAAAGACGTGAAAGTAGCATTTCATAACCAACGCAGCTGAAAACCTGCAGCTCATTAAACACTTCTCCAGTTTAGACATTATATTTATTTTTATTATTATATTATTTTTCCAGTTCGCGCATTATTTATCTAATTTCTTTTGAAACCTTTTATATTTTACCTACTACATTTCTGACTGAATTTTACTCAATATGCTACTAACCAGTGAACAGGTGAAGCAGGGTGTGTGCTGTTCACCCTGCAACAGACCCTGACTTAAATATGTTCCTTACCCATTTAAATAAACGTTATTAAGTAAAAGAAATAATAATAATAATAACAAAAGAAACAAAAGGAAATTAGGATTTAATTTATGAATGGATAAGCACAATGCGAACCAATCAGGCGACTGACCCCTGAACTCTGAGCCTGGCACAAACATCCGCTGTCTGCCGTGAATAAAACATAAAGCATCGAGCAAAATACAAGTGACTCAATAAATCAGTTGAATTTTGGCATGGTGCGACTAAACAGCGTCTCCACACCTACTGAGCTTTTTGGCTCTTTTTGGTGACACGACGAACTGAAACCAGGAGAAATAATCCGATTTAAACTCAACTGAAAAAACAGCAACAACAAAAAAATCTTGCTTGAAATGTGCAAAAGCCCCGTTGCATTTTTAAGCCCCCAAAAACCGAAGCTTTTCAGTCTCACCTGAACGACTCACCTGCAATCAGCTTTTTGAAACTAAATAACCCGGATCTACGTCTCGGCTGACCAGGCGCAGGATTTTCCTCTCTGCTCCACATTTGCATCATTTAAAGCTTTAAACTTAGTTTGTGCACAAAGGGATGATAATAATAATAATAATAATAATAATAATAATAATAATAATAATAATAATAATAATAATAATAATAATAATAATAATCGGATTAGACAAAAGTATTAGTCAGGAGAGGGATGGAAAAAAAAAACCAAACATTTTATACTCGTACACAAGAGGTAATTAATAATTTGATAAAACGTGGGTGGGGCTTTGTGTCACTGTTTTAAAAATGTTTTCTCTTCACGCTGCGTGTTCATGCACCACCTCATGAAATGATCTCATGAAAATGATCACATTTAGATTGGTTCGGTCTGATAATAAGTAGAACAACAACAACACAGATCATGACACCGGGATGATCGGGTCAGGACGCCCCGCGGGGATCAAGTGTCCTTTCAAGCGGCGGCCCTTCCGTTTCACATCAAAGAGCCCAGAGACCGGCGCCGGTCGCCATGGCAGCGGGGAGGGACGCCGGGAGTCCAGTGACGCGTTCAGCAGCGCTGGACTCGTCCTGAAAAGCGGGGCGGAAAAACGTGCCGGCGGCGCGAGCCCTCAATGCTCCGGGACACGCGCGCACACCCTATAAACAAACCCACAAAGTGCGCTCGCGCTGCAGCGCGTGGAAACTAACGGGCTTGAAATCCGCTTTTTTTAGTCGCGGAGAAAACACGCGGGCGCCTGCGTCTCGTATCGCGTGCGTCACCAAGAGCAACGAGGAGGAAGATGATGATGAAGAAGGAGGGACGGGAGCAAAGAGGAGACGCGAACAACAGGCTCGGGGTTCAGGGATGTTGTGGGAAAGAGGTGCACACTTAACACCCGGGTGTAACAATCCTCCTCGCGCGGCCCACCGCCGCGTCTCTCTGCGACCTTTTCCCCCTTGAAGCCGCTTCGTGCTTGCAGACGTTTCCATATAATCCGTCCAGGAATCAAGCGCAAACTCGCCGAACCGTCAAAACGCACCCACGCTCCGCGTTTTGTTCCCCTTTATCCATGTATTTATTTTAATGATCGCCAGCGGAGCCTCATTGTCTCACACGTCATAAAACGCAGCCATGGCCGCTCACTTTCTCACTTTATTTCGGTTCCCACGAGTGGAGAGAGACGAGTTCCCAGGGTCTCACTTCTCCACTCTGTCCACAGGGACGTGTTAAAAGAAACCAGAAGGATTTGCAACCATTTGCAAACAGGTGACAAATTATTAATGTTATTTATGTCATGACCGCTTTCAAGCATTTTAACTTCTTACTTTCTTTATCTATCTATCTATCTATCTATCTATCTATCTATCTATCTATCTATCTATCTATCTATCTATCTGTCTGTCTGTCTGTCTGTCTGTCTGTCTGTCTGTCTGTCTGTCTGTCTGTCTGTCTGTCTGTCTGTCTGTCTGTCTGTCTGTCTGTCTGTCTATCTATCTATCTATCTATCTATCTATCCAGGTTTATTTTTTTTCTGTTCTGTCTTCCTTTCTTTCTCTCCAGCCGAACTGATGTAAGTTTGGGAAGCAGTCCCATTTGCAGTTTGTCACAAATAAAACCAAAAATCTAACTTTCGCGTCCGATCATATCGAATTCTACCTTCCCTCCGGTGAAACACGGCAGCGGCAGCCTTATGCTGCGGGGACGCCTTCCTTTGACCAGCAGGTCAGTGCATCAGAAGGCAAAAGACATCTACTGAGTTAAAAAAAAAAAAAGAAAAAAGCAAGCAGACGTCTGTGCTTCTTTAAGTGCAGTGGTTTGAAAACTCGCTCATCTCCCTGGAACGTTTCAGCGTTTTTTTAGTGTCACGTTGAAGGAATGAGCCTCGATGGATTCTACAGAGATTTAAAGTAAAAAGAACGTGCAAAGAACGGCGCAAGGCTGTGAAGACGGGGGCAAAATGACACACAGCTGCTTATGAATAAAAAATCTGTAGAGTGGCACGCATTCGACTATAAATGAAACCAAGTGGGATTTTCCTCCAGAAGTAGAAGAATGTTGAAAGAGCGACAGAAGACGAAGAACCCAGCAAAGATCTGAGACCAAAGCTAAACTTTCTGCTATGTGGCAGCAAATTAACTCCATACGTCAGCTGGAAGGTGACACCTGGCAGAGTACCCAAAAACTAAGTTATTTTACCCAAGAAAAGGTAAAAATAGAGAAGAAATTACTTCTCTAGAGTAGAAAGAATATTTCGTAACAAGGCTACAAAGCGTCCGTCAACTTGCCAACTTGAAGTCCTCTATGTAAAATTTTGATATTTGAAAGACCAAAATGAAAATGACATGATGACAAAATAATGAAGCGAAAGAAACATTTTTTGACAATTTCCATTTGTTTCTACTTACAATTCATTTAGTTTTGACTCGCAGTAGGTAGAGGATCCAAAAAGTTTACTCAAGTGAGAGCAGCAACACGCCGTAACAGTATTGCTCAAATAAAGGTGAAAAATACAGTGTAGTGAAAATAATTTGTTTTCTAAAACGTACTCAATTAATTGTCACACACACTCGTCACGCGGGAGTGTGTGTGACTCACACTTCCCCGTCAGAGACAGGAGAACTGGTCGAGTTATATCAAAAAAAACCTTACACATAATCCCGGCAAAAGTAGTTCTACGCCAACTTGACTGGACTTTGATATTATGTTTTACAGTTACATTTCCAGAAAATGTACAAAATCGTCTGTTGATTATCTTATGAAAGTCATGTAAAACCTCAATAAAACTCACTGACCGTTGCAGCTGCAATGTAGCAAAAGGTTTGGCCCACAATAAACGTCTTCCCCCAAGCGACCTCACTCACACCCGCCAGCCAATCAGAAGAGGGCTTCATGAACCTACTTATAAGCAGCCGCTGCCGTTCGGGCTGCTTCCCCCCCAAACGTCTGCAGAGAGTCTTTGGGCAACATGACCAGGAAGCTACGAACTCCTGAAGACGAGAAAAGTAGAAAAAGGGTAGGAAACTTATTTCTTTTGGGTGGTACCAAAAGGCGAGCATTTCTGTTTCTAGTGACGTTCCTTTGTGTTTGACTCATTTTATGAACATTGTTTGATCTTTGTGATGCTCTGTCACTTTTAAGCCAGCTCTTGGGTTGCCAACTTGAAGTCCTCTTGCAGGTTTGTTCAAAGGACCGTCTGACCTTTCTGACCTTCTAGGGAGAAACGAAAAACAAAAGAGAGTTTCGGATCCGAAACGATCTCCATAACGTTTACGATAAAGCGCAGTGGCTTATCGACACCGCAAGTATCGTTATCTGCTTTGTAAAGCCCCGAAAACTTCAATTTACCTGTTTTTAGATTTTGAAGCCAGTTGTGGAGAAGAAGAGAAGGGATCGAATAAATCAAAGTCTCGCTGAGCTGAGACGTTTGCTGTTGCTTTCCACGTCCGATACCGTGAGTCAAGTCAAAGCCGTCACCTCAGCTCCTACTGCACCGTGCAAAAAGTCTTAAGGTCAATGATGTTTTTGTGTTTCTTCCCCTTTTCACTTCACCCCCTTGTGGACACCAGCGACTCCAGAATCCTAAAATAGAGAAAGCAGAGATTCTGAACTTGGCTGTGGAGTACCTTAAGAAGTGGGCTGATAGGAAGGACCTGAACAATGGTCAGTTGTGTCAGACAGTTCACCACCTCCTCACAGTTCATGTGTTTGACGGTAGGGCTTTGAGATTGTGCATTGCTGTTTCTCTTTATTCCCACTCTGCTTTCTCCTGGTGCAGACTTGCGGACTCCCGCAGCTTTGGGGAAACTTGGACCCGCCGAGTCCAGATTTGCCCCTCTGGTCAGCAGTGAGAGCGCAGGCTTCCAGCAGTGCATGGCCCGGCTGAACAGCTACATGCACAGGATCCCGCCCACGCAGAGGACCAGCCTCACCGAGGGGCTGAGGCATCACTCGGCAAGCTGGGAACCCACCCTCAACTCCGTCCATGGCGTCTGGAGGGAGCCGGAAGCCGCGTCCGGGGAGGCGGCTTGTACCTCGGAGGGCAGAGGGGAGTCTCCCTGGCTGCTCTTCCCTCCCCACCCTTCCTTCCAGCCTCTCTCCTGCTCCACACCGTGCCACGACTACCTCTCCCCGCCTCCCTCTCCCTGGTTTTCGCCCTCCTTCTCCACTTTCACCGCCTCGCCTCCTTTCCCGTCTTTTGCCTGTCCCTTCTCCTTCCCCCCCAGCCTGTCACCTCCGTCCACCTCCAATGCCTCCTTCCTCAGGAGCATCTCCCCCACACTTCCTCACGTCAGTCCTCTTGGCCTCCATGTCCCCCCGCTAACGTCGTTAATGCCCCCGCTGCACCTCCCACAGAGGGAGGTGTCGCCGGCAGACTCTCTGTCACCCGTCTGGAGGCCCTGGATGGGATGAGAGGCCGGACACCTGACACAGTGACAGCAGTGCCACCTAGAGGGAGTTCTGTGCAACTGCGGGAAGCGACTTCCCTTGACTGTATAGTGTACAAAATGAACAAAACTGCCAATATTTTTTATTTACCCTTGTGAATAAATTCATTTATGTATCTAAAGCGGACAAAGCTCTCTGTACGTTTATTTATGTAAACACGAATGTACCTAAATGTAGGCTGAACGGTGGTGAAACTGCTTGTTGAAGGCCGCAAAAAGGAGTCCAGTGAAAAAACAAGCAAAAAAGAAATGTATTTACCTATATATAATACATAGATAGTTAAATGATATATATACTCCCCCACCTTCCCTCTAGAGAATCAGGCACACATCTTCAAAAGGCACAGAACTCAATTAATGCATTTATAAAATTAAAAATGAATTGAAAAACAATTATCTATTTACTGCTCTGGAAAAAAATAAAAGTCCACTACCCTGAACTCAGTGAACCTCCTGGTTATTCCACCAAATATTGATTCCTGAACTCTGAGTTAAAACATTAAGCATTGTTGCTTCTCAGTTAATATGAACTTGTTTTATTTGCCCTGCATCTTTTGACCGTCTCTCATTTTCTGCAAATAAACAGTAAATGTTTGTTTGAAATTTCAGTGACATGTTGTCGGTAGCTCATAGAATAAAAGAACAATGTTCATTTTATTCAAACATATACCTATGAAAAATAAAGTTAGAGAAACTGATCATTTTGCGGTGGTCTCTTAATTTTTTCCAGAGCTGTATATATGTTTGTACAGAAGAACTGTCCATATGTCAGAGCATTTTATCTCATTTTTAATTTTATACTTTCTTTTATTTATTGGGTTTTACATCTGTGTGTTGATTGGAGAAGATGACTCTGCAAGCCTTCCTATAGGCTGAACATGATTCTCTGTGTGAGCCATGGCCTCCTGTCTTCCCCCTCTTGAGGACGCCACTGTTGCAATCCTGATTTCTCATCTTTCTGTTCGGAGTTTACTTCTACAAACTTTTATCTTTCATCATAGGAAATGGAGCGTCCAGGTAAAATCTGCAGTTATGAGCTGTTAATATTTAAAATAAGGTGTAGACTATACAGAAAAAATAAAAACTTACATGGTAGAGGATAAAATTCATACGTCTTGTTTTTTCATTTTTTATTTCATCCAAACCCCTGTGCTCACCCTCATGGCGTCATTTCTTATTTAATTTTATTTCGTTTCTCTCAGAGACAGTGCATTCTGATCTGTGGTCAACAGAGGGAAGCATTGACTCGCCGATGAGCTCCACAGCGGCGCTGTGGGTCTGGATCTCTGCTGAAGGGGTCAGAACCGAGCCGCTCCATCAGCGATGAAGAGTCCGACATGCCTCTTCATCATTCCTCACTCTTTCCCTGCTCGGCTCGGCCCGTGTGTCAAGATTAAATCTCCATTTACGAGTCCTAAATATTTTTCCAGCAAGGAGGAATCAAAAGATTTGGCCTGAGAAAACAGAATTTAGCACGTGACACAACATGTCTTTGGATGATTGTTACTTTTTTTTTTTGTTTGTTTCTCTTGCCCTCTTTGTGGCCCTGGAGGAACTTTCTCTGGGCCATTTCTGTTAAGAGGCGGCCATTGTTCTTTGTCCGGGACACAAGCGGGCCGGCACGTCACGAGAAGTCCTCTTCTCCACGCTGCGTGTCTTTCGATCACTGCTGAAAGCAGAGAAGGTCGTTCGGCGAGAAGAGGAAGTTTTCTGCGGCTCTACGTATAATTAATAGGGAAAGAAACGACGACTCGGAGTGACCTGACAGTGGCTGAAAATTCCCTGGCAATTTCTCAGGAGAATAGAGCTGATCCTATTACCCTCTTTAATCATTGCTTCTTCTTCTTCTTCTCCTCTTTTTTCTCTCTCTTCCTTTCTTCCTTTCGCTTGCGTGCATTCCTGATTTAAAGGTGTCGGGCTGTGAAGATGTCTTGGGGTGTCACGTCATGGCCTACTGAGAGTCTTTGAATTCCTGCATGTTAGTGCATTTCACGAAACTAAATGCGGAGACAATGCTGGTGTCAGCTCCGTCCATCTCACATGTACACACTTGCAGTCCTCCACGGCGTACGCGGTAAACTGCATGCGTTCTTTCTCTGAGCAGGCTTCTGGCTCACTGGGACATTGGCTTGTGTTGTCATGTCTTGTTGTAGATCATTTCTGTTTAGGTTTATCACATCGGCTCCCTCAGCGGCACAAGAGATCCGGCAGCCGGGGCTTGGAAAGCAGAAGCTTTTTAGAGTGAGCCCCACATACTTATTTCGCCCCTTTCTAATGGATTTTATTTGTGCTCAGAAATTTGACGCTCTGTTGTCCGAGTTTTAGCGAGAACACGAGCAGCAGCAGCATTCTGGTTCAGCTGCAGTCGCCCGATGGAGATGTTATGGAAGGCTGACTTTGTAACCATGTCTATGTGTCTCTGGAGGCTCCTGTATATTCGGAGGAGCTATATGCTGACCAGGTCATCAATTTATTTATAACAGGGTGATATTAATACTTTTCAGAGGTAAATACTACATTCAGTCTTTGAAATATGAAAAAAGGCTGTGACATTTTATTTTATCTTTCAGCAAATTGACCTTTTGTTTCACATGTATTCTCCCCCTTCATCACATCATAACAGTATTTTTTATGCAGGGCAATTCTCTTGTACTACGAATAACTGATTGAAATATGAAATCAACTTTTGTGAGGGTTACATGATGTTATGATCACACCTGGAGTGTTGCCTTGATTCTTTCATGCATGTTTGAGAAACACTTTAATCTCCAATGCTGGTACAAAAAAACAAAACAAAACAAAAAAACATCACTACAGGGTTAGCGGAGGAGCCATGTTGTGATGACTTCCTGAAGGCGGAGCTTCAGAAAGAGCAGGGGCTTCTTAAAGAGACAGAGACTCAATTTTAAGACGCTAAACTACAAAGTAAAGTTTTGTTTAGGTCATGTTTGATATGAGCTGCATTTTTTTTTTAACAATTGAAGATAACAGTTAATCGACTCTGATATAAGATGGCACCATGTGCAAGGAAAATACACAACCCTGCCCAAACGAACACTGAGCGTGGGTGACACGCTTTCATCGAAAGAATAACTCTAAACAATGTATTGACCGCAATTCTCAGCAACTGCATATAAACGATGTGTTAGATTAAAAACATATTGAGCTCAACTACAGGTGTGAAAGAGTTTATTGCAGGATGTGGTAAATCCATCAAGTCACCTTTAAATGACGACACACTGATGACTGGATCACCTGTGTCTGGTGTGCTTCAAGAGAACTTGACCTCTTTTTTTCCAAGAAAACGCAAAAATATATTGGACTATGCGGTTTCTTTTTTTTTATATGTACATGTTGAGCCTTGAACTCTGCAGTCTGGTGTGTTATCTGTCTATTTGTGCAGGAGTGACTGTGCATTCTTTTGGAGTTGAGTCAATTTGTTTGACTTTGCTGTTTTCTGGAAGCCGGCCCACGCGCTCGCCGCTGTTCTTTTCTTTTCTTTTATTATTTATTTTATCAGTGATGTATAAAAAAAACCTCTGCAGCCTCGGACAGCATCCCCAGTGGAGGAGGACTCCTCGCTCAGATCGCGTGTCAATACTCAAGAATGTAGATCTATCACTACCCACAACTAAATATCTTTTTTTTTCCCGCCTCCCTTTCATTTCTCGCCCTTTCTCCGTTTTTCTCCCCCTTTCTTTTTTCTTCGCAAAGGCTCTTTGAAGTAAACGGCGAAAGGATCCCAGACTGTAGCAAATTACCTGAGGACTGAAACATTTTTGACATAAGTCCCGAGAGACGGGAGCGGGCCACTTTTCCAGGCGGCCTCTTTGGCGTTTTTCTTTCTTTTTTTTTTCGTTCCTTCTTTTTTTTTTTTTTTTTGCAATCTGAAGGCCGAGGGAGACGGCAGCGCTGACAGAATGACGGGACGGCTGGACATGCTTCCAGGCCAGGAGCAACAGGCAGAGGAGAATCCAGGATAAGGTCTCAGCACGGAGCCAGCAGCCACGGACAGACGACCGGAGAGGGACGGAGCATGAAAGGAGACGGGATAAGAAGGAAGACATCGGATTAGAATGATAATTAGTTTTTTTTTTAAGTTTAAAAAAAAAAAACTGCTGAATGTTGTATGTCCAGCATTCAGGAAAAAAAAAAAAAAAAAAAAAAACGATGTCTGCAGATGTCACAGTAGACGGCAGAAGATGTTGCAACAACAAATCTACAATTAGTTTAAATGTAGCGAGCACCAAGTTGGTGAATATGTCTCCGGTATCTTCAGTGCTCAGACGCTTTACGGTGTGAGATTCAGCAGAGTTCACGTGCAACACTGTGAAAAAGAAAGAAAACAAAAAAGAATAAGATTTCAGAAGGTCACTTTTTTTGTCCGGAGGAAAAACAGTCTACCTCTGCGTGCATTAACCCGGTCAGTAACCAGTGAAAACTGCTGCTGAATTGACTCTGATGTGATATTTGTATGGTTTGAGACACTCTGGATTTAGCGTTTTGTCACTTTTTTCCACCAGCTTTGTGGTAAATCTTGAAACTAGGTCAGCAAAAGGTGAAAAAATGCTGACAAGTGATATATTTCTCCATCATGTAAACAAAAAACACAATTCATCCATTTTCTGTTCACCCTTGTCCCTAGTAGGGTTGGGAGTCGCTGGTGCCTCTCCAGCTGCGTTCTGGGCGAGAGGCGGGGTCACCCTGGACAGGTCGCCAGTCTGTCGCAGGGCAACACAGAGACAACCAACCATGCACACACACACTCACACCTAGGGAGAGACAGTGCATTCTGATCTGTGGTCGATGAAAGATAATTAATGACATTTATCTGGACCTGGACTTTGCTGTCATGCCAAACATGCTTTAAGCAAACAGGAAGTGGAATCAGAGCTCGCCAGCTTGTTTTCCAGGGCAGACTAATTATTTCTGACATAAGGCTGTTCTCACTCATGCAGCAGTCCT